ATAAATGTAATCTTTTTCGAGCGGGAAATTACTTGTATTAGAACTCGTTCGTAGCGTCAAAATTCATTTTACCGGGGAAGAAATAAAGCGGCCGCAACTTTTTTATTGGAAAATAGAAACTTAATACCAAGATATTTTTTTCCTTCAATTAGGAGACAACGTGTTTTCGCTGTTATCAACTTCAGAAAATCAGAAGTTGAGAGAAAGAATGTTATATCTTGTTTAAAAAGATAAATAAAAATAGCTCTTACTCCTTCTAAAAGTGCTCCGCGCTGTCAATATAAAATGATACTTATTCATTTTCCAACACTATGTCGGCAGAAATTTGAAAAGACAAACAATTTATTTTATATAAATGTAATGTTTTTCGAGCGGGAAAATACTTGTATTAGAACTCGTTCGTAGCGTCAAAATTCATTTTACCGGGGAAGAAATAATGCGGCCGCAACTTTTTTATGGGAAAATAGAAACGTAATACCAAGATATTTTGTTTCTTCAATTAGGAGACAACGTGTTTCCGCTGTTATCAACTTCAGAAAATCAGAAATTGAGAGAACGAATGTTATATCTTGTTTAAAAAGATAAATAAAAATAGCTCTTTTTCCTTCAAAAGGTGCTCCGCGCTTTAAAAAATGATACTTATTCATTTTCCAACACTATGTCGACAGAAATTTGAAAAGACAAACAATTTATTTTATATAAATGCAATCTTTTTTCGAGCAGGAAAATACTTGTTTTAAAACCAGCTTGTAGCGTCAAAATTCATTTTACCGGGGAAGAAATAAAGCGGCCGCAACTTTTTTATGGGAAAATAGAAACGTAATACCAAGATATTTTGTTTCTTCAATTAGGATACAACGTGTTTTCGCTGTTATCAACTTCAGAAAATCAGAAGTTGAGAGAACGAAAGTTATACCTTGTTTAAAAGATGAAAAAAAATAGCTCTTACTCCTACTTACTCCCGCGCTGTTTATATAAAATTATACTTATTCATATTCCAACACTATGTCGGCAGAAATTTGAAAAGGCAAACAATTTATTTTATATAAATGCAATCTTTTTTCGAGCAAGAAAATACTTGTATTAAAACCAGCTCGTAGCGTCAAAATTCATTTTAACGGTTAAGAAATAAAGCGATCGTAACTTTTTTTTTATTGGGAAATGGAAACGTAATTCCAAGATATTTTTCCCTTCAATTAGGAGACAACGTGTTTTCGCTGTTATCAACTTCAGAAAATCAGAAGTTGAGAGAACGAATGTTATACCCTGTTTAAAAAGATAATTAGAAATAGTTCTTACTCCTTCTAAAAGTGAGCCGCGCTGTCGAACCTTATGAGGTATAGTCGCATTTGAAATCACGCATCTCTGATTAATCGCCAGCGTCTCCGCCATGCTTTTTCATCGCCCAATCCTCAAAAGTCCATGCGTTTTGCGCCTTTTGTCTAGAGAACAAAGGGGCATTCCAGAATGCATTCCAGAATTCGTACGGAATGTGCGCATTCTGGAATGCCCCTTTGTTCTCTAGACAATAGGCGCAGGTCGCATCGATTTTTTGAGAATGTGGCTAGAATGTGCGCATTCTGGATACATTCCAGAAAGATTAACAAGTGCATTCCGAATGCATTCCGAATGCCAGTTGAATAAATCCGTGGCGCCTTATATGAATTATCCAATTTGTATCTCCGAACGTTCATGCACTCGGAACATAGGGCTATATGACCCGGCGGCCAAAATATTTCCGGGTCAACCTACCAAAACATAGCCAAATGGCCAATCAGAGCACTCGTTTCGTGGGAGTTTGTTGGTCAAGCTGGGCTTACTCGTACGTAGCTACGGTAGCTATTGGACGTTCGAAAAGAAAAAATGAATATTCATCAACTAACAACAAGACGGATAATGTTGACGACGAGACTTTCTCGGATTAATCATTAATTTAGGATCTAAATGAGCAAGCTATCGTAAGTCAAATAAGCTATATATATGTTATTTTTAATTTGTGTTATAATTGCAGCAGTTATGAGGATGTAAAGAGTGAAAATCTCGTTGCATATCTCATTCATCGCGGTCCGGTCGAACCGAACCATTTGTTCCGTACAGTGCCTCACAGAAAGAGGTCCCCAGACTTCAGTCTCTGTAATCGGAGGTCTAGTGGAGCCAGACGTAGTCTCAGTGGAAAAACCGACGATTAGAGAGACTGAAGCTTTCGGTCTAGACTCGAACATACAGAGCGGTGAATATAGCATTGACTCTCTGTGCTTTGCTGGACACTTTCTCAAACTCCTCGCCAGGGCTATCCCGCTTTCTCTCTCTCTCTTGATATTAATGTTCATTTTACGGTACTTTAATATTGTCAGCCAATTATAGTTGAATCTATTGTACCCTCTTCTTTTCTTGGTACTTTTTAATGCATTGCAATCCTCCTTTCTCTCTCATTCTAACTGCTCACTCTAGCTATCTCTCTCTCTCTGTCATTCTCACCTTGTCTTTGTTTCTCTCCCTCTCTTTCTAACTGCTCATTCTCTCTCTCTCTCTCTCTCTCTCTCTCTCTCTCTAACTGTGCTCTATATATTATTCGTTCTACTATCTCCTCTCTGTCATTCAATGTTTCTCTCTCTCACATCTACACACTACATCAAAAGGTTTATTTCCAGGGTGGGTGACTGTAAAAAGTGTTCCAGTATTTTTAATTAAATTAAATTCAACTAATCATCTGGGGGCCGTTTCTCGAAACCGTCATAACTACAAGATCAACGACATCTCGCCACTGTCGCGCAACTTGTCAGCTAAGTGTTTCACGAAGCCGTCTTTGCCAAGATGAGCGACAACTTCCGCGACAAGCGAGTTGTCACTGCTCCAAACCTGTCATATCTTTTTAATTGCTGTAAAGCTCCATCACAAGTCAGTTTGTTGCCATTCCATGGGCCGCGAAATGGACGATTAGTTTCACTATCATTTTGAGAAAAATATAGACGAGTTCGGTACGTAATTCTCTGGGATGCGAAATGCAAATATACAAAAGTGAGAATACAAATTATACAGAAACTTTAAAAAGCTGAATATAAACATTAAATCACAAATCATTAAACTATAACATATAAATAAGAGAGGTAAGAATGTTACACACCGTTTTCCATAGTCGATCCATAGTCTTTTCTTAGGATACCGTCATACCTTTGGGGCCTATGTGCATTATTATTCCCTCTCTAATTACTTCTTCTAAATTATATTTTCAATATCAAATCAATTATATAACAAGTATTTATGAGACTCTAGAATAAAAAATGGCTGAGAAAAGACATTTTGCCTAAAATTCCTCGTCACAATAAACAAAAAAGTACGTATTGATAAACTATCACATTACTTTATCCTTCAACTAACTTTTGATTCGACTGTCAAAAAAAAAACACTCACCGGTTTTTCTTCAATTTAAGAATCTTTACAGAAATATGCAAATCGTTTGATGATGTAAATATGATAATGACACTATTTGTTATTTATTTTAGGAAAATTTATATGTATATATTTCTTTTTGAACAATTTCAGCCCCAAAACTTGTTTTGGGTTATTCTTGATAAATCAAATGGATCGTGACAAAGACTATGTTCTTGAGCTGCTAGTATCGCGATATATCGATATCATGTCTGTCATGGCTTTGTGAAACGGTTTATCCGCTTCATGACATCTCCGTAGGTCGCCGACAAAGATATGACTGTCATGGAGTTGGTTTTGAGAAACGGCCCCCTGACATATAGACATCTGTCATAAAAGTTGTCTTCGGTTGTGGTAGTTTAGTATAGTTTTTATAACATAGATATATAGGCCTATACCAGGTAACCCGTGAAAGAATGTAGGAAATCAAGGTACTTCCGCATTTCTAGAAGAATATAGACTACTAGAGTAAACCGATGGTGAGAGTCTAAATAAAATTCAGAGGAACTAAAATAAAATGCAACTAAGTTAAACTTAAAGTAAATAATATCAATGTCTACTTGAAGTTTATTACATTATAAATATAAGAATATGATTACTTATTGTATTTGTATGCATAAACTTCATACTGTAGTTAGCATGACGTTAAATGGGGGTAAATCTATGATAAATATACAAATAATAACCTTTTCAAGTAAGACACTCGTTGTTAACTTAAGTTTAAGACGTTATCGTTACTGTCAAGTTCAAGTTACAATTATGAACTAATAAGATAATATTAATTATGATGACTAGACTAAACGTTACAAATTGAATCTACTCCAAAATATTACATAGCATGATTTTAGTATAGATTATTAGCAATTGAAATGATTAAGTGAGAGAGGCCTACTTAACAGTTAGCTAAAGTGCAACTTAAGTTCAATGGCAATGCCAATACATAATGTTACATAATTACACAGTACACACTGACAATCATGTCTAACCCCAGGGAGCTCGGAGTCGGCATCAGAGCCACCTGGAGTTCTGACATATCATGCTTTAAACAGGTGACATACTTATCACATAACTGACGCCTTCATGGCATTGGTACCACATTAAAATAGAAATATCAACAAAGATTTCAGTACAAATTTCCAGTTTGTACCTTATATAGACTATGACGAAAATGAGAAATTTTCACACTTGAAAGAAAGTTACGTATAACTTAAACTTAAGTGAAACGGACCTACTTAATCTTTTAAGAATGCTGAAAGAATTGTAACAAATAGAGGGTTTAGCTGAATATCATGATTTTGGTATCAGATCAAACAGAAATTCACAAGTTTTCTTCTTGCACCAATATCTTATAACATTGGGCGAATGGCAGCCAGCGATAGCCAATATTAAAGAAGGGCCCTTGTAGGCCCAATTTAGAAAAATGAGGCTGAGATCGGATGAACGTAATGCTTTTGTAGACCACATACAGGTTGGTTGGATGTCTTCCCCATTCTTTTCATATAACTTTCAGCACTGCACACAGCACCCATTTATAGTAATGATCTAAGCTTGTCAGCGTGTCATATTCACAGATTAGCAGAGTAGGAGAGAAAGAGACAAAGAACATCCTATGAAATGAACACAGCAAGAGGAGGGGAATCCCCTGGACCAGGAGGAGGGCGTGGAGGAGGAGGTGGAGCCAACGCTGGAGTGTCTGGAAGCGGGCGGAGACGCAAGAAGAAACCTAAAGGTGGAAAGGTAGGAATGATAATGAAATTCAAATTCAACTTTGCCAAAAGGAAAGAAAAGAAAAGATTACATAGAAGCAGCAAGTGTCATTCTCTGACTCTACTGTTTCCCTGTGTACATTTTTTCTTCCTTATACTGTTTTCACATCTGTTTTTTTTTGGGGGGGGGGGGGGGGCTAAGAGGGTTTTTTGCGCTGCAAGTTCCCGGGCTATCTTTCGTGTTCACACCTGGTTTTTCGAAAGTGAGTTAAGAGGGTTTTTAGCGCTGCAAGTTCCCAGGCTATTTTTCGTTTTCACATCTGGTTTTTCGAAAGTGAGTTAGCTCCGCAAGTTCCCGGGCTAAGCTGGCCCTGCTCCCGAGTAGGGTTAGCGCGGCAATTGCGGCACAAGCGGCGCTTTACCCCGCAATTGTTAGCTTTTAACCCTGGGTTAATTTACCAGGTGTGAAAACAAATCTTAGCCCAGTTCTTACCCCGGGCTAAGGATAGCCCAGGTTATCTGAACCAGGTGTGAAAACGGTAATTGTTATGTGTCTGTTTGTGTTTTGTTTGTACATGAAACCGAACCCTTTGGTTGCATTAAAGGAGTAATAATTACATGTATACCTTCGGCCATGTAATGAAACTGTAATATCTTATTCAAGAACTCTAGGTAGTGTTTGTAAATTCATATCGTCGCCTGGGTGGCAGAAGGGCGTTAGCGACTCGAAAACTAGTTTTTGAATTATTCGCATTTAAAGATTTGTTTTATATAAAAACTGCTTTCCGTCCCGAAAATTGGTTTAAAACATAAAAGACTAATAGAAATGTTGTAGTAGAACACGGCCACAATTTTTTTCTCGGAAATAAGTCAGTTTTATAAGAGTTTGAGGCGATTTAGTGCTTCTGCTTAAAGATTCATTATTGACCTGAAATTTGAGCTAACACCTTTCTGCCAGCCAGGTGACGATATAGTTCCTCTTTTTTTCAATTATGTCTTTCTATCTGTCTCAAATTAAACCTTTCATGCATTTTCACTGTTTCCATTATACACTTAATCTCTCCCGATCCTCTCTGTCTTTTTCTTTGCCTTACATGTATTATAGGATGGACCTCCATGTGAGAGAGGAAACAGTGAGGGTGGTGGCAGTCACAAACCTCCTCCTATGATCTTATCAAAGGCAGCTGGGCTTGACAATAAGGTACACATCTGTTCTGATATTTATGATTATATTTTCTTAATTTATTTCCTACCTTAATATTCATCAATGCATTATATGTCACCAGCTTGCTCCATGGCCGACTCACGTGTGAAACAAGCCAGAGTATAATTCACTATAATAATTTACTTTAGGCCTGAGTCATCACGGATTTGCCGAACCCGGGTTTGACTTGAAAATTTCGGGCGGGGACCGGGTACCCGAAATTTTCACCACTGCACCGACACTAAAAATTGTGTGCATGCAACGGCAGGAGTTAGACTAAGTTGCTGTTCTAATAATGCGACGGAAAAGACAGTTACTGCTTTCAAAACAATAAAATAATCCATTGAATTAAATTAAGATGCTTTAAAAAATAAATTGGTATCGTTTCAGTTGACCGTAGGTGTTTTTATTGCTCAAAATTGGGGCTGCAAGAAAGGAATTTCACTTTGTGCGTGGAACCTAGAGCGTTCAGAAACGGAAGTGGAAATATGACCCACTGAAGACTGAGCAAGTTAAGAAAGCCCCACACACAAGACTGATCAGACTATTACAATTAAATTGTAATACTAATAGGCATTAATTTAGTTGTCAAAATATGTCCACAAAATAATGGTTTACGACCCTTGATAATTTGATGAAGGAAAATAATTTAAAGACCTTGAAATAACATCGAAGTGCCTTTCGTTCGTTCTAAAAATGCGAGTGTAACGGCAAGCTGAAGTAGAGAAGTTACGAGTCAAGCTTGATATGCGTGTTTACATCCCTACACCGTCATCTGAGCTAATCGGAACATTAAGCAATAAACCAATTTAAAAACATCACGTAAGACTTTAAGGGACTCCAATTCAACAAAATTACCGTAAAATAATTATTTGCTTTGACAAATAATACTATAGATATTCATATTATCTTACAGAAATTATGATATTTCATGAGCTACGTACTCGATATCAAATTCAGCTAGCCATCATTTTGAAATGAGACGTAGTTGTCATGCAGTAGACTGTAGAGGGCGGTAATGCAGCAGAGAGAGGAAAAAAGCGCGGGCCTGAGATCACGTGGTATTCACGTGCCTATTACGTGATTTTTTTCCTCTCTGCGAGTCATAGATCAGTGGGTCATAGATCTATTTCCACTTCCGTTTCTGAACTCACTCGATCGGTACCTCGAAGCGTGATTCCTTTCTTGCAGCCTCAATTTTAGAGCGATAAAAACACCTACCGTCAACTGAAACAATATCCATTTATTTCTAAAGCATATTTATTTGATTATATTGAAATATAAGTTTGTGAATTGCATATTTTTAGTTCTATATTTCAAAATATCAGTGTGAAATGTAATTTTGAAAAACCCGAAACCCAAAAACCAAAAACCGGGTTTTAGCTCGACGGTCGGGGCCCGGGCGGGGACCTGTTTCGACTCAGGCCTAATTTACTTCGTATGATTTATTCACAGGCACACTCGTTGTCAATCCATATCATTCATCTCTAGACATGTGGGGTCTAAATAAATAATGGGTACCGGTATCCTTTCACTATATTTACATTTACCGTATATCCCTCATGGAAAATTTATTGTTCAAGTATTAGTCATTCATAATTCCACTAGAAGAAAATTCTTTTGCAGAGGAAAATATATTTTCCCTCCTGACTTGCCCCTTGTTTTCCTAATCATTTCTTCTGCCATGTATAGCGAGCAGCCAGTTCTTTGAATTCTGCCGAGTCGCTGAAAATTAGGTCACAATATAGAAATGTAGATAAAATGATCAGTCACAAGCATACATTTATGTTGGCCATTCAGATGTGTCCATATAAACGTGTTTGATTTGCATGGATCAACAGAATTTTTATGTACCATATTTTGCAAATGCAGGACATAGAGAAAACCACTGGGTCTGAACGCTCCAATCGACCAACCCGAGCTGTTTCTCCTGGGCCCCAGATTAAAATCAAAGTCAGGGACAGAGAGGACACCCCCTCCCAAAGCCAGACCCTTCCATCAAATGTTTCCACCGGTTCCCCTTCACATGGTACCCCTATCACACCTCGGGCAGTGCCAGCAACCAAGCTCAAACAGGGGAGTGAGGTGGAACCAAGGGGGCGGGGCAGTCCCTCCACTGGAAGGCTTTATTCACCAGGTCAGCGAGTGACAGGGGGGCAGATGCCTGGCATTTCTATTGAGGGTAAGTCAAGGGTGCATGTTTACAATTGATAATTTATGAAGAGAGTATTTAATTATGGGATAAAGCCTCCTAGGAATATTGAAAAAGAAATGGCAGGAATCCATTTTCACCCAAGTGCAATACAGTAAATATATAATTGATAAAATTCCTTTATAAAGCGTCTTCTCAAGAGATACAAAGTGCATTAACATATTTTACAAAAGATAATGCACGAATAATATTGAATACAAAGAAATGGAACAGTAAGGAGAAAGTGCTACCCATTGCATGGGGGATTCCTGTGTAATCTGGGTTCATTTGATCTGGTCTTATATGATAGAGATATCTCTATCATGAACAAAAAATAAAAAATGATAATGATGATAAGAATATCAAAAAAAAATAAACGATAAGAATAATGAATATATAAATAAATTGAATAAATAATAGTCTGACCCATTAGTATTGCTTGTAATTTTGTTGCTGTAGAAGGCCTCTGTAACTGTACTGCATGAGCCAAGACCTTTAAGGGTGTCCTCCTGTAATACCGTATGTTTTGATTAATTTTCCTTTTTTTGATCCTCTGAATAGTGCCCATCCACAAGAGATTAGCAGCACCAACAATGATGACCCAACCCATCAAACTGATTGACAATGCATTCCAATGGGTGGATGTGGGAAATGAGGTTAGCAGAAATCAAATAGGGATATAAATTGAAAAATGAGTATGTAGTCATGTTTCGTCATAGCTAGGTTGAGGGTAAGGGTTGAAATCGGGTGTTAATTTAGGCTAAGGGTCAGGGTTTAGGATTAGACATTGTATATTGTCAGGGGTTGAATTTAGGACTGTGTAGCTGTAGTTGTAGCTGGAGTGTGTGTTATACATACCATCCAAACAGTTATTTATATATCCTTCTAGAGATGAATGAATGGAATACTGTCAAACTAAGAGCTGCAACCCTGCAACATTCTTATTCAGTCATTTCATAGCATGAAACTTTGCTAATATGGATTACTTGTAATATGTGGTAAGTTTCATGCATGCAAATTTCTGGATTTGCAGTATAACAACGGCAAATTAAGAAAGCAAATGATAGAACTACGTATACAATTTGATGATGGATCTCAGGAGAAAGAAAGACGATGGTGGTGGTGGTGATGGTGATGATGATGGTTTTCAAAAACATGAGATATTGAGAAAGCAAGTTTTGGTAACGCATAATAATAATAATAATAATAATACAGCATTTATTATGCGCCATCGATCTAGTAAACTATAATTCTATATTATCTTGGTCCCATTTGAACATTTTGATGTGGGAGCACATGTGTCATATATTTACACTCAGAATTAGTGGTGAAAATTAGTAGTGAAAACTGTGAATATACCCCGGCCCCCCCACTCCGAGAACGGACGGACCCCATGCGTGTTGCTAAAATGTCCTTTTCGTAACAAAAGAAAAAGGTCGACCCGTATTGACTTTACACACCGGACTTTTGCTGAAAAGGGGGGGTGCTGAAAAAGGCTCGTATACAAAAGAAAAAGGTTGAGCCGTATTGACATTACACACCGGACTTTTGCTGAAAAGGGGGGGTCGGTTGGAACACGCATATGCGTACCCTAAATAACACTGAGTGGGGGGGGGCCGGGGAATATACATCCACAGTTTCTGTTTTACATTTTGCATGATCCGCCCTTATGTTATATGTAAACTGAATTAAATGTGTTTCAGCTTTAAAAAAAAAAATGATCCTTGTTTCTTATGTCCCTTAGTACCTTCTTGAACAGACTGATTTTCTAGTGATAGGTGTCCTTGGTGTACAGGGTAGCGGCAAGTCTACTCTGATGTCTCTATTGGCTGGTAGTAAACATACAGATCCTCACAGGTAAGCTATATATCAGAGCACATTTGTCATATACTTACACTCAGAATTAGTGTTGAAAATTGGGTGGTGGAAATTGGATGGTGCATTTTTAATGTAAAAATGTATAGAAAGTAAAAATAAAGATTCTGGAAAAAAATCAAGAGGTGATCTGCAGATCACCTAATAATTATTATTATTAATAACAACCACAATAATAAGTATACTTGTATCATGCCCGGCATCCATCATAGGGGATGCTTAAGGCACCCACAAGGTATTATTATTAACCTGGGTAAAGTCAAGCTGCCACAAGGGTCTCAAAACATTCAAGGAATGAATTCCTTCCAGGTACCCATGTGAGTGGAGAATGGCAGATGTAGAATAATGTCTTGCTGAAGGACCTTAGTTCAATAATAGCATTTTATCTATCACCCCTTCCTCAGTTCCTATGTGTTCAAGCCCCAGACTGCATTGAATGCAGAGCAGGCCTTGCATCAGACCAGTGGTATGGAGATGTTTATTACTGAAGAGCGTATCATCCTGCTAGATACCCAAGCAATCCTCAGCTCTTCAATCCTAGATCGTCTTCTGGGTCCTGACAAGCAGAACATGCCTCCAGAATACTCATCAGCTGACAACTATGCAGAGATGCAGGTTGGAAACTAGGCCTTACATTACATTCATTCTAAATCTCATATGCAAAGATTTTAGTCTAAGAATCTGGATTGCACTAGCATTCCTCCAATCTCACAAAGCTTCAGGATAAAAGTCCAAATCTATTATTATAATTGTGCTCTGTCCTCACCCTAAACATTGATTGCAAGTACACAGGATGATCATTTGTTTATCTGGAGGACACAGATCAATCTACTGCAGGATAAACAATGCAAAATGAATTATTGCCATGTTCTCTCGACATACGATGCCCATACGAGAGCTCAACATCAGCTTCAATCTTTCCTCTTTTTTTCAGTCCCTGTACATAGCAGCGTTTCTCCTGACTGTGTGCCATGTAGTGATGGTAGTTGAGGATTGGTTCAGCGATATCAACATCATAGAATTCATCAAAAGAGCTGAGATGCTCAAACCAGCAACCCCGCCCCCTCCAAGCAACCAATCAGAGAGCAGTAGTCTAGATGACCCAGAAGACTTTGTCCCTAATCTAGGTATTGATGCTTTTCAGATCTTAATCCAAGCACAACATTGATTTTTCTAGAGCTAAACTCGCCGTCTTCTTCTTTCCTCGTCTTCTTTCTTATTTTCATCCTTAAATTAGCAACCCTGGTATTTTCTCTTGTTACTTCATTTCTTTTCTTCTTTATTTAACATTTGTATATTAAAAGTTATTCCATTAGTCATATTGCTCACAGAAAATGCATTTATTTATTGTATGTCATTCATAAATGTTATGACTTGTAATAGTGGATGATTGGGATACCGGTACTACAGATGTTTCCTTTTATTATCAAGAAAGGAAAAACATTTCCTCACTTTTCTAAATGGGTTGACCCATTTTTTAGCAGATGAATTTTTCAATTTACAAGTCTGTCACTAGAATACATACAATGATTTTGAATGATATGAAACATGTATTGATAGTGAATGCTTTGAATGATATTGTAAAATTTATCTTTATCTTGACAGTATTTGTGCAGAATAAAGCCAGTCGTGAGAGTTTTCAACCCATCACTGTAAATGCGATTCAGCAGGCTATTCATTCTCTTATGATCACATCTAAACTCAAGTATACAGGTATGGTGTAATGGTCTGTCTTGAGCATAATCTTTATCACATGCGAGATGATTATGCTCATCTTCAAACAAGGTTGATAATATCATGTTTGATATATATTATGAACTAGGTATAAAAAGATGTACCTTTGACACTTTTAATTGATAATAACTTCAAACTTAAAGTAATATTCAAGATGAATTTAGCACCTTGTGAAGTGGAAGAGTGTGGAATTATTGTCAGCGAAAGCTATTCATTTCTAAGTACATATTCAATTTTTGACAAATCAACTCTGATATATGTGCATCAGTAATTGATTCAGAATGTGAGAAAAAATGCTTTTTATTATTTAAAAATATAATAAATTTATTGTTATAAACAAATGTTATTGTTTTAAAAAAAGACGTTTGTAGTAACACCAATGGCTAGTGTGGCAAACGTGAAATTACAGTATATTTTTTGCACTTTCAACCTAACAAAATGCAATTTCTCATGCATTAACCCATACTCAAATATGCATGGGAACAGGGGGGGGGGGGGCTGGCTGAAGTATGTCTCTTGTCTAAGCTACAGCACTTGCATACTTCAACAAGGATCATTAAAAGGTTTGAAGACTTTAAGACTTAAAATATATCACCACTACCACTACCACTACCACCACCACAGCTATCCTAATAATAAATATGATTATTAGACTGAAGTTATTACAAGAACATTATATATGTTCATGAGTGATCTATATCCATTATATATGTTCATGAGTGATCTATATCCATTATATATGTTCTGAGTGATCTATATCCATATTTGTTTTGTTTGTAGGTTGTTGTTCTCTTGCCAGGAGCTCTGTCATGCCCTGCCTGAGCTCCAAGACTCTTCCGCTAGACCTCAATCTATTCTTGCTTCCAAAATTCAACTCAGACAAGAACAAAGGAGCTGAGAAAGGTAAATATGTGGTTTCATCAAAGTAGATGAGGAGGAGGGGGGGGGGGGGAGGATGGGTGGGTGGGGTAGGGGAGGGGTCTCATTTGCAAAATGTTTCTAACTTACGATTGAGAAGTGAATCACCATCACATGGATCATCCCCTTTATCCAGGCTGCACTATGGGTTAATGTCTTAATGAGTTAACAGTGGGAGTTTCTCCTCATAAATGTTGATTTTTAAAAAGTGATTGTAAAAAGAGAAACATATGGGAAGTCTTCAGCAAATTGCTTTGCCAAAATATGTTAACGTTATAGAAATAAATCCCCATTGATACATTCACCAATTAAGAACTTAATACTCATAGGGCCTTTCACAGTTTTCTTGTAATTCTACTTTGTGGTACTGTTTTTACCCCCTAAAGATTTTTCTCGTTTGTTCTACATTTCCATCTTGTGTAAAATATAGTTCTGCCAAATGGTTAGGGAACTGGGAATAAAAACAGCTTTACATTTTGTTTTCCTTTTTGTATTCAAGAATCCAAGACATGTGTACTCCAGTTTGTGTGTGACCCTGGGTACGTGGGTCACCCCCGCCCTGAGCGGCTAGTAGCGGCGTTCAGGAATCAGATATATGCTGCTAGTCGACCTCTTCTTACCCATACATCACTCAATGAAAAGAACTGGTGAGTTAGAATAATAATAATAATAATACAGGTGTAATAGTAATAATACGCATTGTTTACCCATGGTTTCCTCATCAGTATTCATACTACTTCCCCTGAGGGCCCTGCAATACACCCTTTTACGGTTACAACAGTGTGCATGTGCAGACATGGGCCTCATTTTAATTTACGGGTAAACAAAGTTGTTTACCCGTATATTAAAATGGCGCCCATGTAAATATGATCTGAGCGCACAGCGCAGGCAGTGACGCAACAATGCATGCACATCTGAAAACATTGAGGACGAATGTTTACGCGCAAACTAAAATGGAGGCCTTGACCGTAAAAGGGTGTATTATATCTTTACCACGGCTTTATGAGAGCAGTTGGATGCAATTTAAGATCACAATGAAAATTAGTAGTATATTTTCATGCCACGTTATGTTAAAGAGATAGTCAAGTTTTTGTTTCAGACCGCAAATGCCTTCAAAGTGCATGGTTGTTGCTCTTATTCTTATTTATGACATTTCTAGTGCCCTTTCAGATCCTACAATTACACTGAAGGTCATTTTAGACCCTAAAATGTATGAAATTTAGCCAATAGGATCATACCAATTCAGCTCCACTTCAAACAAATATGGTGACTGTTAATGAGCTAAATATGTAATAACAATATGGGCCCGCTGATTGTGCGTATTATGAAAAATGAACATGAAAAAGCCAACAAAAAGCCAACATCGGCATTGGCTGGAATAAAACGTATAAGGCGTTTTCTCGTTTATTCAGCGTCTGGTCCAAATTATTGAACATTTGTGGGGCACCACAAATATTAGAAATTGTTATATTTATGGATATTTCAGCCGTCTCTGAACCGATTTGATCTAACAAAGAGTATTTTGTCATTAAATTGTATGTTCTTTTAAATTTGACTCTGTTTTAATTTGTGTAGCGCCCTCTGCAACAAAACTCAACTATCCCTTTAAAGATACTATGTCCCATTTGCAACGAACATCAAATTCTGTAAAACTTTGCAGGAATTATGAATATGATACGTATGTTCTATCTGTGTCCTTGAAAAGTTAGCATTGTCCTAATATTCAAATTATGCAAGGAAACCCGTTTACTTTCTACACTTAACTGTCAGACATTATTGGGTGACTGAATGGCTTTTTTTTCTTTCTCTGATAATAAAATACATAAACTGAGCTGTAAAGGGTACATGAGCATTCGTGTACATCAATAACCCAATTCTTGTAATGGCCAAAATTAAATTGATTGAATCTTTGTGCAGCACAAAATGTACAACAAGGGTTTGAAAATCAGACTATTAATTTAGTGATTGCAATCACTTACGTCAATTCGACAACTAATGGTTGTTATTTTCCCAATTTAAGACAATTTTAAGCCCTTTTGTTTTGAGGGAAGTTCTAAATTAGTTAGATCTTTCAAATGCCGTTGGAATTTAACCTTTTCATTTTTGGGGGCCTGCAAATGGGACATCACATAGTACCTTAAATCGAGTGACTAATATCGGTGTCCAATCTTTGGTTGCATTGTTGTATAGGTATCAGTATGCCAGCAGAACATGGGAAAGCATCAAGAAGTCTACTCTCATGTCTGAATACCATCGGCTTCTTACTTGAGGCAGGTTAACCCTCTGCGTACTGGACCTGGGTGGTTCATGTGAGAAGCCTCACGGAAAGGGAGAGTCCAGTAGTCAATGAAGATGCCTACTCATGAAGACACTTCTGCTGGTTGCAGCATCCCGATTCAACCAACTTTAAGGGAGCTGATCATGATGTGCAGTTCCTCACGTGGGGCCTTTTGTCTTCTTGCTACGATCATTTCCTCTAGAATAAGCCATTTCGTAAATACTATCTGCGCATGGGCAGATAAAGGTAATTTCTGATAAAATTGTAAAGCCCACCGAGATGAGTAAGTGCTCATGTTATGTAATCATTATTCATGTGTTGCACCTGGGGTACATTCTATGATACAACAGGGCGAACAAAAGTTTTTTCATGAAGCACATACATGACTTTGGCATTGATCAATCTAAAATACACTAAGTGGGACTTCTCCATGAGTAAAAGATCCTTGGATATTTGGGGTCATTTTACCAATGTGCTAACTACGAAATGGTCTATTGTGCCTGTGCAAAGACAGACAGAACAGTTGTTCTGCTAGGGTCGGTTCTCAGTTAAGAGGAACATAATGGTGTTCAGATATGAAGCTTAAAGATTAAAGATATGTTTGAATCACTCTACCAATCAGAATCAGATGGTAATGAGATCTGTGAGAGAGATTATCTTGATGTCAGGGGTCATGAAGCTTGCACGTTTGCATGTGAATAAACCAATCTGCCATTCTCAAGAGACAGCTCTCTTTATCCAAATATATCTGGAAGAAATTTTGAAACATAGGGATTTGGTGAGTGAAAGCTATACTTCAATTCGAACCAGATTAATCGGTCATGTTTGATACTCATGTTCGATGTGGGCTTTTGTTTGGATGTTAATCGGTCATGTTTGATACTCATGTTCAATGTGGGCTTTTGTTTGGATGTTAATCGGTCATGTTTGATACTAATGTTCAATGTGGACTTTTGTTTGGATGTTGATCTCATCTGATAAACATCCCCCCGTTGAAACCAGGGACAGGGTAGGAAGTATCTACCGTGTGAGTCAAAAAAAAGTTTACACCTAGACAATTGCTAATTATTTTAAAAATCATCTGTGAACAGTAAATTATTTTACATCTTATGAAAGAGTGTTTTATCCCAAATCATTTGGTACCATTTTTGTGTGGTACATGTATGTGTTCACGCTTGGATGAACACGAGGCATTTTTTGCGAGAGTGCAAAAATTGACTTGCGCCAAAGTTGCTTATGTGATGTTTGAATAAAACAATCTAGATTTGGGTATTAATTCGGTCTTTGCAGATCCAAATAACATCCCTAACAAAATTAATCATGCCACACATATCAAATATCGAATATCAAATATCAACGAACATTTGTGCGCGTGTGTGTCGGTGGTGTGACTTTGCCCTTTGCAAAAAGCATATGCAATGCATTTCATTTGATACATTTAATTCATTCTCTCACTCCATTAATCCCAACACAATACATACTGTACGCATCACTTTGGCGCAAGTTGATTTTTGCACTCTCGCAAACAATGCCTCGTGTTCATCCAAGCGTGAACACATACAACACAAAAATGGTACCAAATGATTTGGAATAAAACACTCTTTCATAAGATGTATACTAATTTACTGTTCATCGATGAATTTTAAAATAATTAGCAATTTTCTAGGTGTTAACTTTTTTTTGACTCACATGGTATAGTTCTCTTTCATACAAATCCACTGTAGCATTGTAGTTATTTGAAGTTAACTTGATCTGATTCATTCTAGATTTGGACTCAATTTACCAAATCTTTATTGCCGTAAGTGCAGAAATACTTACATGTATTACAGCAGCGCTTCTCCCAAACATATTTTTAATAGCAGTATTTTGTTTTTAAGTATCTGATCTTACAAGATACACTGTACGTGGAATTCAGCTATTATGTTACTCAAAGATTTATGTCTTTACAGAGTAAGTAGTGTAGTAGTAGCATTACATTATGATTAACACAAATATCTCTTTCTTGTGTCACAGTTTAATTTAATTTTTTTCAATGAATTTTTTGTATGGTGAGCCTCGAAAAATTTTAAAAATCAGAATTTTAAAAAAGGTTGAGAAGTGCTTCTCCCACAGCGTAGGGTTTGCTAAGAGTCAGAAGGGGCAATTTTCAAATCCTTTTACCACAGAGGCAACACCTTTCAGGTTTTCAAGAGACAATACATCTCCAAAGCATCTTCATGGTGAATGTGGTCGACTACTGTAAGTACATACATGTACATGTACAACATTTCTTTTGTAATTGGTCTTATGCACTATCTTGTGTAGAATTGCCTCCTCTTTTGAGCAACTCCATTTTAAAGATTTTTATTTGTATTTATGTGCTTATTTAAAGTTAGATTATTGGAAAATAAAATGTTGCCACCATCGAATCAGTCAAACAGCACAGTTTTCTTTAACAGTTCATAATTTGAAGTAACATGAATACTTTTGTATCCATGAAAAAAGATGGAAATTTATTTAATGATAAACTGTTAAAGGCTAATTGGGTAACATTAGCTCCCCCCCCCCATATCCATGAAGAAAGATGGAAATTTATTTAATGATAAACTGTTAAAGGCTTATTGGGTAACATTCGCTCCCTGCCCCCCCCCCCATATTAATAATAATAATAATAATAATCCGTTTTTTTATATAGCGCTCAATACACCGATCCAACGATGTACCTAAGCGCTTTACAGATATACTATTACCCCGGTCATCGGATTCAGGCTTACCCGCACACAATGTGTGCACATTTTCCACTCCCTGGGGAGCATTCCAGCCAGTCGCTATTTTACAGGCGCACACTTGCTCGTTCAACCACATGAACGTTCGCATCCTACCAGGTACCCATTTAACACCTGGGTGGAGAGTAGCAAGTGCAGGTAAATATCTTGCCAAAGGATATTAGTGCCGTGTCGGGATTCGAACCCTCGACCTTCGCATCTACAGTCAAGCGCCTTAAACTACTCGACCACGACACTCCCGATAATTTTCATTAAGAAAGGAAGAAAAATGGAATATATTTAATCATAAACTGTTAAAGGCATATTGGGTAACATTAGCTCCCTGCCCCCCCCCCCCCATATCCATGAAGAAAGATGGAAATTTATTTAATCATAAAGGCTTTCTTTTTTATTGGGTAACTTAATCGTCCCCCCCCCCCACCTCTCTCTCTCTCTTTATATTTCATTCTCTCTCTCTGTTCCTCTTTCCTATGATAATTCTAAGCTACAAAAGCATTTCACTTCTTGATTCTACCAGTGACATAACAACTAATGTGTTTGTATTTTGTTTTGTTAATAGAAGGAAGAAGTACCGGTATATTTACCAGTTCCCTTTTTGGTGGGAGGGGGAGGGCAATACTTGAAATTTATGCCAGACTGACCAGAACATTTTGTTAAATAAAACATTGTCAGCTTATGACTTGTATTACATTAACAAATTCTTCCATCTTATGTGTGATCTTTTCTAGACACTTTGCATTTTAGTTATGGTGAATAGTGTGTCATTAAGACTCATCAGAATTCATTTAAAGTGAATGCATTTCTACAACTTCATTTCAGATTTCAACTTAATTTATTCACATGATTCACAATTTACAACATCTAAAAATCAAACTAAATATCCGCAAAATATGAAAGCACAATATATATACAAGCAACAAATTTGTCTTTTAAAGTAATGATATTTCATTGACAATTTAAGTTCAATAAGTCATACACTGTAAATACAGGTCGTTTACAGTTTAAAACTGTTTACATCTTTTCTGTATTCCTCGAGCAGGAGGAAATCCCATACACACTGTAGCGTATCTCTATTTCAATGAATGAATATGTTGAATATGTAGAAAGGGAAGCAAGACTGTTCACTCAAAGGAATCAACTGAGAGAAAATAAATATTCATAGAGAGCATTTTTCTATTTGAGTTATCTACAGACCCTTGTACTGTAAATGAAGTAGGACAATTCACTGATATATAAGTTAACATTTCAAATAGAATCACTGCTCATATATTGTGTAGATAAGATCTGATTCAGTGATAACATGGGCCATAAAACGATACAGAGTTCAATTTATAGTACACCAGTGAATACATTTTGTTTAGATCCATTCTTGCATTACACTAATTCCAGGTATTTAAAATAATTTAGTGTTGATAACATACACAGGCACTTGTATGCATACATGTATGACCTGTGATAACAGGTTAGCAGACATTTGGCATGATTTGCATATTTAAATAATGATATAAAAGAAGGGGAAGTAGAACTTTCACTTTCTATTTGATGATAGAAGCACTAGAGATTTATGCAGGTATGGCATCATTAGGGCTTGGGTTGCCAGGCCTATCTTCCTCTGCAACCTTTGTGACTTGTGGCTTTAAAGAACAAAAATGAAAATGGGATATCAATGTTATAAGTTGAGAAAAAACCTGCATCAAACATTGCATTTGATTAACATCTTTGAGTGGAATGGTTACACAGAACATTTTGGTTTCATTTGTTAAAGATGGAAAATAGCTCCTGGAATTTTTCAAGAAAACAAGATTTTATTTCTCTTAAATAATTGCACTCAAACCAAGATAAAAAACTACAGTCAACTCTGCTTAACTCAAAGTCACACAAGTCAATTTTTCTGTAAGTCAATTTTTGTTCGTTTTTTGGACATCAGTCAAAGTACTTGATGTGATCATTCAACTAATGCAGAGTTAACTGTAATTCTACAATAATAAATATAATTATACCTAAACAAGATTTTGAAGTTTGAACATGCATAATTGCCTCCTATAACCTCTAAGAATTATTTGTTAAAGGTACTATGTCCCATTTGCAGGCCCAAAAAATGAAAAAGTTAAATTCCGACTGCATTTGAAAGATAATACTAATTTAGAACTTCCCTAAAAAAGGTGGGGCTTGAAAATGTCTTCAAGTGGGAAAATAATGACTATTAGTTGTCAAATCGACTTTAGGGCTATAGAGCCCAAAAGTAATAATCTTGATTTTCAGACAATTGTACCGAATGGTCGTACGTTTTATGCTGCGCAAAGATTCAATCAGTTTAATCTTGGCCATCACAAGAAGTGGGTGATTGATGTAGACAAATGCTCATGTACCCTTTACAACTCTTTTCATGTATGTTATTACCAAAGAAGAAAAAAAGCCAGTCAGTCACTCAATAGTGTCTGACAGTGAAGTCTAGCAAGTAAATGGGTTTCCTTGCATAATTTGAATATGAGGACACTGCTAACGTTTAAATTTCACAGATAGGACATACATGACATATTCATAATTCCTGCAAAGTTCTACAGCATTTGAGGTTGGCTGCAAAAGGGACATAGCACCTTTACGAATGCATTTCAAAATCCATAAGAGGGGATAAAGATTTTGACATTTTAAAACATACTTACAATACAAACTATTGATGAGAAAGTATTAAGTGGTTATAACAATACTGTAAAGAAACTTAATCAACACTCGGAATCCCGAGTGATTTTTCATTTATGCATGAATAAAAACAAAAATAAACAAATGTCAAAGAGACTTCCCTTCCCCGGATTATTACGGTCCTCTGTTTGTCTTTTTTTAATTAACCGAAACAATTAACAGCTGTCCGTACGATTGGTAGACTTGAAACTTGTCAAAATGTCTCAGTCTTTTTTCTCTCTCATCCATAGAACCACCCAATGATATAGCAGAACCTTGGCATATTAAAATGAACTTCTTGGGATCAAATAAACTTTTATACATACATTAAAGTCAAACCTCGTAATATCTCGGCTCAAACAAATATGAAGTAGTGGGACTGAAATGCTGTTAAAAAAAGGTAGTGTCATAAGGCTTTCATCGAAAGGATGCGGTCGGCGCGGTGCGGCGCGGTGTGGTGTGCTCAACGCACCCATTCGATAAAAGAGGGGGGGGGGGGCTTTTCTCGAAAGGGTGCGTTGAGAGCGGAGTACCGTTTTAACACACCCTTTCGATAAAAGCGGGGGGGCTTTTCTCGAAAGGGTGCGTCGACTAGTCTTTCGCATCAGTCGTTTAAAATGAGGATCTGGGACAGAAGGTAGTAGTTGCCAATTTAAGTATATCGAAAATGTATTAAATAAAATGGAATGGTCTTGATTACAGAGTGGTCTCTTTCGTTATTACTATGTTGATGGGGGAGACAGAGAGAAGGAAAAAAGGGAAAGGGAAAGGGAAGATAAAAGGAAAGAAAGAAGAATAAGAAGAAAAGAGGGAAACGGGGGGGGGGGGGGGGGGGGCGAAGGGCTCTTGCCTCCTCCTCATCCCCCCCCCCCGCCAAAAAATAAATAAGAGAGAGAGAGAAGGGAAAGGGAAAGAAAATATAAAAGGAAAGAAAGAAGAGGAAGAAGAATAAGAAGAAAAGAGGGAAACGGGGGCGAAGGGCTCTTGCCTCCTCCCCCCCCCCCCCGCCAAAAAATAAATAAGAGAGAGAGAGAGAGATTGGAAAGCGAAAGGGAAAGAGAAGATAAAAGGAAAGAAAGAAGAGGAAAAAGGAAAGAAGAAAAGAGGGAAACGGGGGCGAAGGGCTCTTGCCCTCCCCCCTCCCCCCGCCAAAAATAAATAAGAGAGAGAGAGAGAGAAGGGAGAGGGAAAGAAAATATAAAAGGAAAGAAAGAAGAGGAAGAAGAAGAAAAGAGGGAAACGGGGGAAGGGCGGAGGACTCTTGCCTCCCCCCCCCCCCCCCCCCCGCCAAAAAATAAATCAGAGAGAGAGAGAGAAGGGAAAGAAAATATAAAAGGAAAGAAAAAAGAGGAATAGGAAGGAAAGAGGGAAACGTGGGAAGGCGAAGGGCTCTTGCCTCCTCCCTCCCCATCCCCCTCCCGCCAAAAAAATAAATAAGAGAGAGAGAGAGAGAAGGGAGAGGGAAAGAAAATCTAAACGGAAAGAAAGAAGAGGAAAAAGAATAAGAAAAGAGGGAAACGGGGGCGAAGGGCTCTTGCCTCCTCCCTCCCCCCCCCCCCGCCAATTGAGAGAGAGAAGGAAAGGGAAAGAGAAGATAAAAGGAATGAAAGAAGAGGAAGAAGAATTTGTGTCCTGCCAGTGTCACAAATAGATCTATAAAAATATGCTCATCTCACCGTTATTTATTGCCCAAAACCCGTGAGCTTCCGGGGGGTTCACCCCCTTGACCCCACGCCAATTTGTGACCCCTGTGTCACAAATAAGGTATAAAATAATAATAATTTAATGTACAAAACTCCTGAGCTTCTGGGGGCTCCGCCCCCTGGACCCAACACCAAATTGTGTCCTGCCACTGTCACAAATAAGGTATAAAATTATGCTTATCCGACATTAATTTTGATGTTTAATACCCCTGAGCTTCTGAGAGCTCCGCCCTGTGAAAAAAACGTGTAAAAAAACACATTAATTTTACCGTTTTTGGAAGATAGGGCCCCCCCCCCCCCTCCCTGACGTTCAAGGGGGGGGGGGGTACGATTTTTCAAATTTTCGAGGGCCCCAAAAAAAGATTAGTGCTCTCTAGTAATTTTGCGACTACTCCGGAACCGCGGCAGATATAAAGTTTTTCTTTCATGACTTTTTTCTTTCGAGTCTTACGCATCTTTTGAAACATTTTTTTGTTGAAAATTGGACGTATAGTTGCGGAGTCACGTGAACTTTTGTTTTTGCATGTCAGCCCTAAAATCGCTCATTTTTGTGATTTATGTACCAAAAATATGGAAATACCATTTATTCTTTTAAAAAAAGAGAAAACATTGGTTATTTGGTCTTGTTTTCAAGTTAATGTGTTTGTTTTTGGGTCAAATTAGTTGAATTGTGGTTAGAAATGAAATAAAACAACAAAAACAATATAATACATAAATACAAATTATCAAAACAAGATAAACTGGCTCTTCCAACTTTGTTGTATTATTATTCGAACGAAAATATGTAGTGAAAAAAACGCTTGAATATGAATTATATATGATTTATGGGTAAAAATGTGAATTCTCTGACCTTGTTTGCATAAATTACCATAAATATGCAAATGAGTGAATTTTTCAAAAAATTGAAATTACCATAGTTTTTTATACACTTCACTTTACATGCATGCACATTTTCGCGGCGATCGGCTGTGAAACGGCTGAGATCTTAGGGGGGGGGACCCCCCCCCCACCCTCAAGTCTACTCCAATCACATTGAAAAAAAAGTATGACTTAAATCATCTCTCTCATCATTATACCGGTATAGTATTCATGTTTTTAATATTATTTATTATCCTTCCATTAAACAAGTTCATAGAGAAAATACTTATCTCTCTGCAACATTTAAAAAAAGAATCTTCATTAATATGTCTTAATTTGTATTGATAGCCTTGTGGTCGCCAACAGTGGCGTAGGTAGGGGCGTGTGGGGGTGCGACACCCGCCCCCCCACCTGTCAGGATATTGTCGGTAAAATTGCGCTGCCGTCGGGAAAAAAGAGAAAAGGGGGAGGGGAAAAAAGAGAGGGAAAGGAAAAAGAAAAAGAAAGAATGAGAAAAACGAAAAAGAGGGAGAATAGGAAAGAAAGGAAAAGAAAGAAAAAAAAGGAGGCAAGAGCCCTTTGCCCCCGTTTCCCTCTTTTCTTCTTCTTCCTCTTCTTTCTTTCCTTTTATCTTCTCTTTCCCTTTCCTTCTCTCTCTCTCTCTCTTATTTATTTTTTAGCAGGGGGGGGGGGGAGGAGGCAACAGCCCTTCGCCCCCGTTTCCCTCTTTTCTTCTTATTCTTCTTCCTCTTCTTTCTTTCCTTTTATATCCTCTTTCCCTTTCCCTTCTCTCTCTCTCTCTTATTTATTTTTTTGGCGAGGGGGGGGGGGAGGCAAGAGCCCTTCGCCCCCGTTTCATTCTACTTCCTCTTCTTTCTTTCCTTTTATCTTCTCTTTCCCTTTCCCTTCTCTCTCTTATTTATTTTTTGGCGGGGGGGGGGGGGGGGGAGGGAGGCGGCAAGAGCCCTTCGCTCCCGTTTCCCTCTTTTCTTATTCTTTTTCCTCTTCCTCTTCCTTCCCTCTCCCTCTCCCTTCCCTCTCCCTCTCTTATTTATTTTTTTGGCGGGAGGGGGGAGGCAAGAGCCCTTCGCCCCCGTTTCCCTCTTTTCTTTTTCTTCTTTCTCTTCTTTCTTTCCTTTTATCTTCTCTTTCCCTTTCCCTTTCCTTTCTCTCTCTATCTCTTATTTATTTTTTGGCGGGGGGTGGGGAGGGAGGAGGCAAGAGCCCTATGCCCTTCCCACGTTTCCCTCTTTCCTTCTTATTCCTCTTCTTTCTTTCCTTTTATATTTTCTTTCCCTTTCCCTTCTCTCTCTCCCTCTCTTATTTATTATTTGGCGGGAGGGGGGGGGGGGAGGTAAGAGCCTTTTGCCCTTCCCCCGTTTCCCTCTTTTCTTATTCTTTTTCCTCTTCTTTCTTTCCTTTTATATTTTCTTTCCCTTTCCCTTCTCTCTCTCTCTCTCTCTCTCTCATTTATTTTTCGCGGGAGGGGGAGGCAAGAGCCCTTCGCCCTTCCCACGTTTCCCTCTTTCCTTCTTATTCCTCTTCTTTCTTTCCTTTTATATTTTCTTTCCCTCTCCCTTCCCTCTCCCTCTCTTATTTATTTTTTGGTGGGAGGGGGGAGGAGGCAAGAGCCCTTTGCCCTTCCCCCGTTTCCCTCTTTCCTTCTTATTCCTCTTCTTTCTTTCCCTTTCCCTTCTCTCTCTCTTATTTATTTTTTTGGCGGGGGGGGGGGGGGGTAAGAGCCTTTCGCCCTTCCCCCGTTTCCCTCTTTCCTTCTTCCTCTTCTTTCTTTCCTTTTATATTTTCTTTCCCTTCTCTTTCTCTCTTATATATTTTTTGGCGGGGGGGGGGGGGGGGGGTGAGGAGGAGGCATTCTTCTTTCTTTCCTTTTATCTTCCCTTTCCCGTTCCCTTTCCCTTTTTTCCTTCTCTCTGTCTCCCCCATCAACATAGTAATAACGAAAGAGACCACTCTGTAATCAAGACGGCGTAAATATTCATAATTGAATGACACACGCCCTTAAAACTAAAACAACACACCACACCACACCGCGCCGCACCGCACCCTTTCAATGAAAGCCGTGTCATAAACAGGGCCCCATTGCACAAAACTTGCTATCAATGGTAACTACCATGAAAACCTTAATTTTGATTGGCTGTTGAGCCGTTACCATGGTAGTTGCCATTGATGGCAAAGTTACCATCAATGTTAAGTTTTATGCAACAGGACCCAGTCTTTTCTTTTCTTTCCTTCATTTTATTTACAAAAAATAGATTTCTATCATTTCTTTCTCCTCATGAGACTGATAGAGTGGTATAGATGACTCACCTTGGGTTCCATAGCTAGAGTCTTATCTGGTGATACAGCCTGTCTCATGTATTCATTGTGCTCTGCTCTTGTCTTCTGGATGTTATCTATAGCTGGATCACCTCTCGACATGTAAGTAGTGACATTACCTGGAATCTTCTTGGGCATTTCCCAGGTACCTACGAACCCACCCCAGGGGGAATCCTTAGACCGAGGGACGCCCTGCTTCAGGTGACCACGGTCATTGGCTATGATCTGGGTGAAGCCCTCGTACGATGATGGTCTCTGCAGGTAACACAACATAGAGGAACAAATAAAGATGCATGCAAGATTAAAATCTGCACAAACCCAATATTAAGACAACACCCAGTCACCTACTCTTCGACTCCACAACTTGTAATTCAGAGTTCTAAAAAGCTCTGTTTTGTTTTTTAAACTCTGACCAAACAGCTAAATGGTACTTTGAGAGCCTGAAAAGTCTCAAATATAAAGAATTGGAAATCATTGGACACTTTTTCTGGTAGCAAGGACCTACAGATATAGATCTCCAATAGTGTTGAAGAAATCAACTTTGCTTCACGAGGTATTAGTGTGGTACGGTATGTCACTGAGACAGCTCCCGTAGGATTTTTGTGCCAAAGTTGATTTTTTTTGCTGTTTTGGCTTCAAAATTGAAGGATGGTATTTACCGCCGGTAATTACCGCCACCGGTATTTACCGCCCAACCCTGCAAATAAGGTATCTAAATTTATTTATTTATTTATTTTATTTATATTTATTCGGTTTAAAAACATCAACACGTAAAGTTCAGGAACTCATAATGGTTGATTTACAATGAAATTGAATAGTGTAAACAAAATTGAACCAACAAATATACACTTAAGAAGAACATATTGTTTCACACACATGAAAATATGATTTCAATACAATATACAACGGCTGGCTAGATGTGGCTAGACCAAGGCGAGATATGACAAGGAAATCGAAAAGAAGATAAATGACAAAAGAGAGAGAGAGAGAGAGAGAGAGAGAAGAAGAAGAAGAGGTGAGAGAGAAAGAGAAGGACAAGAAAGGGAAGGGTAGAAAGAAAAAGAGAGAAGGTAGAGGGAAAGAGAGGGGGAGGGGAGATACGGAGGGGAAGTGAGGGAGAGAGAAGGAAGAGAGAGGAAGGTAGAAAGAGAGAGAAGAGAGACAGGGAGAGAGTGAGGTATAGAAAGAGAGAGAGCGAGAGACAGGAGAGAGGAGAGAGAGAAGAGAGAGCAAAGAGGGGAGAGAGAAGGGGATAGAAGAGAGAGAGAGGGAGAGAGAGGGAGAGAGAGGGAGGACAGAAAAAGAGAGACATGGAGAGGGAGAGAGAGAGAGAGAGAGAGAGAGAGATCTTTAAAAGGCAAAATAAGAAACAAGGTAGATAAACGTAGCATTAAAACATTAATACATTTCTTATACACATCTACACAGGAGAAGGCGCACCGGAGCGTTCAGAGGAGACAACAATGGATTGGCCTGCAACGCATCGTCGCGTCCGCTCCAAAGGCCATGGTGCGCCTGCACATGATGGTCAACATTTCAGCGTTTTCAAGAAATTTAGAATAGCTAGAATGTGCAGGCAATTTGGCAGTAAATAGCAAAATATAATCAATACCCTTTCCGACAATGTTGTGCAAAACATGTAAAGCTAATTGTTAAAGAGTTGACACCTCTATTAATTAATGGCAAAACCCGCATTTCTTCAATATTCTGGATCAGAAATATACAGCTATAATAAAGTATTGCAACTTGTAGTGATTCTAAAGAGTCACAACATGTGAAGCTAATTGCTAAGTTGACACCTCTATTAATGGAAAACCCGCATATCTTCAATTTAACAAATCAGAAAATATGGCTACAATAAAGTATTGCACCTTGTACATGTATCAGGTCTAAAGATTCACAACATGTGAAGCTGATTGTTCAGGAAAAGTTGACACCTCTATTAATGGGAAAACCTGCATATCTTCAATATTATGAATCATGTATCAGAAAATACAGCTTAAATGAAGTATTGCACGTTGTTTCAGATCTAAAGAGTACCGGCACATGAAATACAATTCAATTGTTTGGAATTCACATTAGGTTATTGAGAGTCTTAATGACTCGGGGTAAGAGGAGACTTTTTATAGCGTTGGGTACGACACATCGGTTCTAGAAACCCATCCTTCGATCTTAGGAGACGATAATTAGGTAGGGTGCTTCGGAGAGGTGGGAGCATTGAGCTGTGACTTAGCAAACTTCTCAAATAATTGTTTTCGACGGTGCTCAAGTGATATGATGTTAAGAAACTCGAGAGCATTTGAGTAGTCTGTGTAATTGCGGTAGCTAATGATAATTCTACACACACATTTTTGTATGCGCTCAATTTGGTTAGATTGCTGTACTGTGAGAGCTGGAGACCACACAGGGGAGGCATACTCCAGTATTGGCCTGATATACATCAGGTAGACCGATAGCAAGTCGCAGACGGGGGCCTTGTACTTGTTGAGTATACATAGCATATATAGTCGTTTAGCAGCTACACTGGTCATATGAGAAGTTTGCATGTCCCATTTCATGTTAGCTTGTACAATAACACCCAATAGTTTGAGAGTATCTACACATTCAAGAGTGCTTGCACCAAGGTAAAAGTTCGGAAATACAGTAGGTCTTTTCAGGAATGAAACATTCATTATCTTACATTTCTCAGGTTTAGGGGTCATGCAATTATCAGTAGACCAAGTAGAGAGATTGTTGATTACTGATTGGATGTTAGAAGGTTGGGAATGTTTCCTAACTTCTGCAATTGTGAGATCATCTACATATTTCCATCTTAGTTGTGTATCAGAGGCAGCATCAATATGCTTATCTGACCGTATTTAATGCCTAAAACCCGTGCAGCTTCCGAGGGCTTCGCCTTTTGACACCAAATACATGGTGATTAGAGGTTTAAGTTCAAAGTTATCTTTAAAACTCGATGTAACCACGCCAAACAGGTCCTACACTAATGCACGTACATGTACACTGTATATGCATATAGTTATTACGCATGTGGGCAAAAATGTTGTTTTTGTGGAAATCAGATCAATAACTTTGGATTGCTACAACTTTTTATTGAAACGATATATAAACCTCTCCCTTGCACAGGATATTGTCGTTGTACATAAGCAAATTCCTGGAAAGTTATGAACAAATGCAGTTCTCCAATTTTGATATATGGAAAATAACGTTTTTTGATCAAATTGAATTTTTCGAAAAAAATCACAAAAATCATGTTTTTTACTTAAATTTGCAATGTTCATTAATCCCAAATTCTTTGAAATTGGTATCAAAATGTAGATAATTTAACTCTCTTTCATATGACACCAAAATCATGGTGGTTCAAGGTTTCCTTAAAATATAACTTACACAATACTATTTTGTCGTCAAAAGGGACACTTTTTTGATGGGGGCGTTTTTTTTTATTCAACAGGCATGATAGAACTCTAATGTACATGTAGCCGGTGATGTGTTGTCAAAATTATAAGCTGGTACCTAATGACATTTTCCAATCATCAAAATCGTGAGATCCTTAGAAGTTCAAGGAGTTAGTAACAATTTTAAATTATTCATGGCTAAGCAGAAAAGATTTCAAATTGATCTCAATTGTAGTTCTGGAACTTCCTATTTGAAACACACAAAGACTAAAGCTGAGATTCAATCGAATCAAGTAGTTTCATAATGTTCCTTCGATTTTTGTACCGAATTACTTGTAATCGAGAGAGAAAATAAATTTGCATACATGTACCTAGACGAAACTATTTTTTGAGAAATGTTTATGTCATTCTAATCTTATCACAAAAGGAATTGTGCGAAGTATTGGTTGCTTACAATCATGCATACATGTGTTTTATTTAAGCAGTCAGGCAAAATAAACCATTAAACCTAATATGGCAATATTATATTGTATTCATGTTGATCGATGCACTAAACTTGTCTTGGGCATTGGCAAGATTATGACAAGCGGCTGGAAGGGGCGGGGTTGGGGTGAGGGGGGGGGGGGGGGGGGAGGTAACTGCCAATGCCCACATTTCCTGAAACATCCCAGAGTACAGGAGAAGTACTTATTAATTACACTCAGCACTCCAATCCCTTTGAACTTTCTGCACTACTAAATTTCTAATCACTTTTGTCCAGTTAATATACCGATATACTGGCAAAAATCAGAGGAATATCTACAATAAAGCACCTTTTTGGCTCAAAATTTATATTTCACACGCTACATGTACATCACTCATTAAAATTGATATCAGAATAAGGGTATTTTAATTATCCATCTTTTGACACCAAATACATGGTGATTAGAGGTTTAAGTTCAAAGTTATCTTTAAAACTCGATGTAACCACACCAAACAGGTCCTACACTAATGCACGTACATGTACATGTACACTGTATATGCATACAGTTATTACGCATGTGGGCAAAAACGTTGTTTTTGTGGAAATCAAATCAATAACTTTGGATTGCTACAACTTTTTATTGAAACGATATATAAACCTCTCCCTTGCACAGGATATTGTCGTTGTACATAAGCAAATCCCTGTAAAGTTATGAACAAATGCAATTCTCCAATTTTGATATATGGAAAATAACGTTTTTTGATCAAATTGAATTTTTCGAAAAAAATTACAAAAATCATGTTTTTTACTTAAATTTGCGATGTTCATTAATCCCAAATTCTTTGAAATTGGTATCAAAATGTAGATAATTTAACTCTCTTTCATATGACACCAAAATCATGGTGGTTCAAGGTTTCCTTAAAATATAACTTACACAATACTATTTTGTCGTCAAAAGGGACACTTTTTTGATGGGGGCGTTTTTTTTATTCAACAGGCATGATAAAACTCTAATGTACATGTAGACGGTGATGTGTTGTCAAAATTATAAGCTGGTACCTAATGACATTTTCCAATCATCAAAATCGTGAGATCCTTAGAAGTTCAAGGAGTTAGTAACGATTTTAAATTATTCATGGCTAAGCAGAAAAGATTTCAAATTGATCTCAATTGTAGTTCTGGAACTTCCTATTTGAAACACACAAAGACTAAAACTGAGATTCAATCGAATCAAGTAGTTTCATAATGTTCCTTCGATTTTTGTACCGAATTACTTGTAATCGAGAGAGAAAATAAATTTGCATACATGTATACCTAGACGAAACTATTTTTTGAGAAATGTTTATGTCATTCTAATCTTATCACAAAAGGAATTGTGCGAAGTATTGGTTGCTTACAATCATGCATACATGTGTTTTATTTAAGCAGTCAGGCAAAATAAACCATTAAACCTAATATGGCAATATTATATTGTATTCATGTTGATCGATGCACTAAACTTGTCTTGGGCATTGGCAAGATTATGACAAGCGGCTGGAAGGGGCGGGGTTGGGGTGAGGGGGGGGGGGGGAGGTAACTGCCAATGCCCACATTTCCTGAAACATCCCAGAGTACAGGAGAAGTACTTATTAATTACACTCAGCACTCCAATCCCTTTGAACTTTCTGCACTACTAAATTTCTAATCACTTTTGTCCAGTTAATATACCGATTTTCTGGCAAAAATCAGAGGAATATCTACAATAAAGCACCTTTTTGGCTCAAAATTTATATTTCACACACTACATGTACATCACTCATTAAAATTGATATCAGAATAAGGGTATTTTAATTATCCATCTTTTGACACCAAATACATGGTGAATCCCGACACGGCACTAATATCCTTTGGCAAGATATTAACCTGCACTTGCTACTCTCCACCCAGGTGTTAAATGGGTACCCGGTAGGATGCGACCGTCATTGTTGGTCAAACAGTTTTTGAGCGTCATGTAACGCCTGGCTGGAATGCTCCCCAGGGAGTGGAGATTGTGCACACATTGTGTGCGGGTAAGCACTGAATCCAATGACCGGGGTAATAATATATTTGTAAAGCGCTTAGAGACATTTGTATTTAGCGCTATATAAATTAAATTTATTATTTATTATTATTATTAGAGGTTTAAGTTCAAATTTATCTTTAAAACTCGATGTAACCACACCAAACAGGTCCTACACTAATGCACGTACATGTACACTGTATATGCATACAGTTATTACGCATGTGGGCAAAAATGTTGTTTTTGTGGAAATCAAATCAATAACTTTGGATTGCTACAACTTTTTATTGAAACGATATATAAACCTCTCCCTTGCACAGGATATTGTCGTTGTACATAAGCAAATCCCTGTACAGTTATGAACAAATGCAATTCTCCAATTTTGATATATGGAAAATAACGTTTTTTGATCAAATTGAATTTTTCGAAAAAAATTACAAAAATCATGTTTTTTACTTAAATTTGCGATGTTCATTAATCCCAAATTCTTTGAAATTGGTATCAAAATGTAGATAATTTAACTCTCTTTCATATGACACCAAACTCATGGTGGTTCAAGGTTTCCTTAAAATATAACTTACACAATACTATTTTGTCGTTGAAAGGGACACTTTTTTGGTGGGGGCGTTTTTTTAATTCAACAGGCATGATAAAACTCTAATGTAGACGGTGATGTGTTGTCAAAATTATAAGCTGGTACCTAATGACATTTTCCAATCATCAAATCGTGAGATCCTTAGAAGTTCAAGGAGTTAGTAATGATTTTAAATTATTCATGGCTAAGCAGAAAAGATTTCAAATTAATCTCAATTGTAGTTCTGGAACTTCCTATTTGAAACACACAAAGACTAAAACTGAGATTCAATCGAATCAAGTAGTTTCATAATGTTCCTTCGATTTTTGTACCGAATTACTTGTAATCGAGAGAAAAAATAAATTTGCATACCTAGCCAAAACTATTTTTTGAGAAAAGTTTATGTCATTCTAATCTTATCACAAAAGGAATTGTGCGGAGTATTGGTTGCTTACATGCATACATGTGTTTTATTTAAGTAGTCAGGCAAAATAAACCATTAAACCAAATATGGCGATATTATATTGTATTCATGTTGATCGATGCACTAACTTGTCCTGGGCATTGGCAAGATTATGACAAGCGGCTGGAAGGGGCAGAATGGGGGTGAGGGGGGGGGGGGGGAGGGGGAGGGGGAGGTAACTTATTAATTACACTCATCACTCCAAACCCTTTGAACTTTCTGCACTACTAAATTTCTAATCACTTTTGTCCAGTTAATATACCGACATACTGGCAAAAATCAGAGGAATATCTACAATAAAGCACCTTTTTGGCTCAAAATTTATATTTCACACACTACATCACTCATTAAAAATTGATATCAGAATAAGGGTATTTTAATTATCCATCTTTTGACACCAAATTTATGGTGATTAGAGGTTTATGCATACAGTTATTACGCATGTGGGCAAAAATATTGTTTTTGTGGAAATCAAATCAATAACTTTGGATTGCTACAACTTTTTATTGAAACGATATAAACCTCTCCCTTGCACAGGATATTGTCGTTGTACGTAAGCAAATTCCTGGAAAGTTACGAACAAATGCAATTCTCCAATTTTGATATATGGAAAATAATGTTTTTTGATCACATTACGAAAAGCTCTCGTTAAAACTATACCCCACCACTATAGCACAGCAGTCAATGTAATCTGGTGGGGTAGCACTACCCCAGATTCGTTTCTCTCGTTAAAACTTTGTAATCTGGTGGGGTAGCAATACCCCAGTTTCGTTTCTCTCGTTAAAACTTTGAGAGAGCTACTACTATTACACAGGCACCAATGGGAATCTGATGGGGTCTCACTACCCCACTTTCAATTCTCTCGTTAAAAACTTGGACAGAGCCTTGAGGCTCTGAGTGAGAGATTAAGATATTGGATTGCAGCTGGACTCTACATCATCTTACGTAATACTAGTGTAAACAAACTCTTACTGGGGTCTGCCTGAAAGGAAATGAGAAGTAGGAAATAAGTATTTTACTTGTTTTAAGATATTTTTATGTCCTAAAGTCACTAATAATTTAGATGAAGACCAAAATGAAAGTTCGAACGAAGCAAAATGACCCATAATTGGCGATATAACAACAATTTTAACTCTGGCAGCGAACCCCTGCATGTGTCTCTTTCTCCCTTCTCCCTTCCTTTCCCCTTGTATCATGCTTATCTCTCTCTCGCTATCACCTCATCAAGGTCTCGGTGGGGGTGGATTACAGCGCTAGTGTTTACTTAGGGCTTATCACAATCTCAGCTCTAGTACAAGTAGAAATGGTGAAAGTCAAATGGGGGTTTCAATTTTAAACGACGAGTTTTCGTCATGAAATTGAATTTTTCGAAAAAAATCACAATACTATTTTGATGTCAATAGGGACACTTTTTTGGTGGGGGCATCCCTTTGGCCACACCCACCACTTAGAACATGCCAGACGGTCATTTTTTTATGTGGAGCTATGCGATCTTTACATCTGTGCACATTAAAATTGGTTTTCTGCCCAGCTAGGTTGACCCTAACTGGCTCCAGGTCTAGGACCCTCCAGGAAATGACCCCATCATTTTTGGCCAATTGGGACCCTTTTGAAGCCAAAACAGCGAAGAAAAAAAATCAACTTTGGCACAAAAATCCTACGGGATTACATACCCTACCGCACTATATCCCTGAACATCAACTTCGTAACAGAATTTTGTAATCTAGTTATGACATACCATTTTGGTTGGAGTTATGAAATATACCGGTATATTACATGTATATGTACTATACATACATATAGCCACAACAATTAGAACATGCAGTAACAGTAATCTGAATTATCTCTCATATTATGATGGAGCAGTGCAATTGAAAATGTTGTTTTGGACGCTACATCTTCCATAAACAATGCAGACCCTCATTGAACCCGCTACGACAATACATTATTGAGATTGTTTCCATACTGGAAAGTGGAATACACTGAATAGTTACTCCAAGTGATCGTATAAAGTGAAAACTGACCACTATGACCATCGACCTTTGACCTAATTTCCCCACATTAAATCAGATTGTCTTCATGTGCCGATACCTACTACATGTACCATCAAATTTGAACATCAAGCTTCTCATGGTCTTTGATTATCACGATAATGAGGCTAATACCTGTAATTTTATAAATCTATCCCCAAAAGCTTACCCCCAAAGTTAATCAGTTTTCCTATCATTATACTCGCACAAGGATTTTAGTTCATATCCCAAGTGATCCTCAATGTATGGTGATGATGAGTTATTCTTATATTATATAATATGTAAGATATGATATTTTCTAAGGTTCCAGATGTTAAATTGTATACAAGAAACGAAACAAAATTTAACTTCTTTTAAAAACAAACTAAAACAAAATTACATATCAAAAAATTGAATTCACATGTAGGGCTCACCTCTTTATATGTTTGAGGGATTTGAGAGTTCTGAAGTCGTCTGCTGTCAAAGGCTTGCTTATACTGTGTTGGGATAAAAATAAAATAATTTAAAAATACAAAAGATACAATTCACAAAGATCTCTACAGAATAAAATTGTTGTTCCTTTTGTTTAAATTTGCAGATCTAGATCCAAATCCACCCAATGCAATCTTCTTACATACAGCAATGCACTGTAGGCGTTGTTAATATAGTACCACACCCCCCCCCCCCACTTCTTCTAATGATCGACAAGTTGATAGTGCTCTCATTTTGTGTAAAAGTATGTCATCATAGTAATTGTTCTCCTTTTTTCCATTCAATTTCAACGTATTAATATTATTAGAAACTACATGTATATAACACTGAACTCTGCAAATGTTTGTATCTACATGTACATGTATACCCGTCCCTAGCTGTCACCTGTTTGAAGAAATGAAGAAAAAAAAACATCATGCTATTAACACTATCTAGTCGGTTCATATGTACAGAAGAGATGTTCTTTACTTTACTCTTTAGTCTTGGAATAGAAGCACGCAGACCTTTAGCTTACATTTAAGTGCATGCATGCACAGTAGGTGCATCCGATCTCAGCAAATTGCAGATAGTTTATTATTCCTCAGCACTACACTGTACATCCTGACTTATGGATCCTGCTGAGTATCGTCGTAGAAGTAGAAGTAGAAGTATTAGGTATTGACATTGCCATTGAACCTAAGTTGTGCTAATTAGTAAGGCCGAGGCCAATGCCAAAATCTAACTTTTTAATTACTAATTTGTTTATAATAAAACAAAGATTAAAAGAAAGCATTTTCTTTCACTAAGACAACTCACCCATCTGCCGACTCCAGAAGTTCCATAAAATAGGAGATATCCAGCTCTTAAGTAGGCCCTTCCTTCTACGCATATCCGTATGTAAGAGCCTTGAAACAATCAATTTCATGTCCCCGAAATTACATTTAGAATTAGACAGGCCCGAGGGATAGGCGTGTCATTGCCCGGACAACAAGTTCAAAACTTTGCGCGAAAGTACATTCATCATCCTTGGATCGGTCGCACACACGAACCAGGCAAGCCGCAATACAGGCTGAAGTTGAAATCGAACCATCAATGTACGTACGACTACTAGATCTACTAGTAAAAAAAGAAGGAAAGAACTAGATCTAATACATTAATATTTACCTTAGATTGTTCTTCCAATATTGCAATGACTTGATTTCCTCATGAGTATTATGATTTCAGTTTACTGTAGTGTACAATCAACTAGAACGACGTGAGATTGACACATTGACACATTAATCCGGAATGATACTAGTCTATGTACATATGATATGCATATATTATCGCATCACATGCGTACTACTTGGATCTCTCACTCTCTCTAGCTATACGTAATACTAACTATGTATCATCCACTACATGTACATGTTGCAATCATGCCCAATCATGACCTTTCATCGACCCCTTTCATCCACTTTTCAATCGGAGTATAGACTGCATGCTCACGCAGACATTTTTTACTGAAATATCTTTTTTAACATTTCTCATGCATACTGCACAAGCTCGACACTCGTGTCTAGTGCTTTGAGAATAAGGTACTGCGTCTGAGACTAAGCAAGATTTGTCTGAGGCGTAATGTGACCGGAGCTCATACATATTCATATTATGATGTCGCAAGACCTCTATTTGGGGCTGGAACAATGACATCTCTGTTCACAGTTTTCCTTCTCAATTTGAGATGTCTGTAGCTATCGGCCTCAAACCAACGCAAGATTGACATACATGTAAACATCGTACTCTATCTACCTTTGAATGTGCAGTTTTTAAAAATCTGTATTTAAAAAGACTTTTTTCTTTTATTTTCTAGTTGTTAAAAGTGACATTTGTGCACATCTGATATGTTAAAGTAGATATTCATTGATTTAAAAAAACTAACTTTATGTTCATTATTGCAAGTTGAAACTTTGATTCGACAAGGTTATCAAAATTCAATGCTTGGAAATAATCGAAGTAATGATTATTATAAATTACAAAACGCTTAAATACAGCCCCGGCATAACACCTGAAGAGCTCTCCGAGCTCACCCGATATCATATGTAGTTGACCTAAAACTTGTAAAATGGCCATCTGTTAGCTTACCAGTTATAGTGATACATTAGTTGACATATTCGTGATCTTCTTTGAATTTCACCTTTAATCTCTATCAAAAGTTCTTTGACTTAAAACCGATTCCATATTTTTAGGCTATAACCTCTGCACCCTCTAGGACCCCTCTAGTTTCTCTTTTGACTTTTTGTGCGCGTTTTGTTCGTCTGCTACCACAATTATTGGATTCAAATAGACCTCTACGTCAAAATCTTCAAGATCGTCATCACATGGTGAAAGACCGTTACAGATCCGTGTTTAGACCTAGATCTAGATGTTGTGGAGTGTAAATTGTATTTTTGTTATAGATCTAGATCTAGATCTAGACCTAGATCTAGACTTTTTTTCTAGGCCTAGATCTAGAAGTCTATATGTTATTCAATAGACCCTAGATATTTTTATTTTGTTTATTAGATCTAACGTTAGATCTAAACTCCAGTCAAAACTCTTCTTCGGAGTATTTAGGAGGAAAATAATCCAAGATCCAAGATCTAGATCTAGAGACTGTTTTGTGTCAATTTTCTTGTTATTTTTGGAGTATTTTTCGGAAAAACGTTGATATTAGTATAGGCCTAGAGTCTACTCTAGACCTAGGCCTACACCTAGTAGCAGTGACATAAAAGTTACACCGAGTTGTATGTTGGTTATTGAGTCACCCAACCTTCTACGAGTAACTTTAATTAGACTTCTAGATCTAGATCTAGTGTACGACTCTAAGACTACGAGGCCGTGATGCAGTATGTGTGACTTCAGCTCACAGCAGTACGGTATCATCGTTTGCGGTATCATCACACCAACTAGACCGAAAGCTTCAGTCTCTATAATCGTCGGTTGTTCCACTGAGACTTCGTCTGGCTCCACTAGACCTCCGGTTATAGAGACTGAACGACTGCCTATGCCAGCCTGTGTTGAACTTATTCCGCTAGATTTTAGCCGCTAGGCCCCTCCCACAAACTTGCCACGGCCGTATTGTTATGCCCCCAAAATCCCCCAAAATGTCATTTTACCTCGTTCATTTCCAATTTTAAATTAGGCCTAGGCTATAATACATCGGTTCCACTTACTAACTTGATTGATATAATCCGTTTAATGGTCCCTTTTAAGGAAATTATCGGTCAAAATCGACATCCATGTTGAAAATCTTGCAAGCCGTGTTAAACTCTCGCTGCCGTCAATCTCATCCCTTCTAGTCTACGCCGAAGGCAAAATGATTATGAAGGAAAAACTGTGATAACGCCATTACGAACGTGTAGATGGCGCACAGTTTTTCCTTAATAATCATTTTGCCTTCGGCGTAGACTAGAAGGGATGAGATTGACGGCAGCGAGAGTTTAACACGGCTTGCAAGATTTTCAACATGGATGTCGATTTTGACCGATAATTTCCTTAAAAGGGACCATTAAACGGATTATATCAATCAAGTTAGTAAGTGGAACCGATGTATTATAGCCTAGGCCTAATTTAAAATTGGAAATGAACGAGGTAAAATGACATTTTGGGGATTTTGGGGGCATAACAATACGGCCGTGGCAAGTTTGTGGGAGGGGCCTAGCGGCTAAAATCTAGCGGAATAAGTTCAACACGGGCTGGCATAGGCGATCGTTCTGTCTCTATAACCGGAGGTCTAGTGGAGCCAGACGTAGCGGCTCTTACATGCCCTACTTTCACCGTACATTCATGTCTCCTGTATTTTTCCATCACGGTATTTATTTATATTCATTATTCGTACCACGCGTGTTCATTCCTCCAATCGAGCATCGTGGTTCCGCGCATCGTTCACCCGCGTATTTTCATCACCACGAGGTTTTCTTCACTCCCGCTTACACCTCGGTCGAGTCAACAACTCCTGCTTACATCTCAGTTGAGTCAACACGTTTCTGCATGATTTCTTCTCCGGGCTTGATTCTACTGTGCCTATCACTTCTATCGGCACATTATCTTCACTTTCCCTGCCGTGTTCATCGGGCTGCAGTTTTCCAGTGGAACAGTTAAATCTTGTTCCGACATATGGTGCTTGGTTATCCGCTGGGAGCTGCCAGTTTCTTCACCGGTAGTCCTTCACTCACATGAGCTCGACTCACCGCAGCTCATCTAAACATTCATCATCAAAGTTCGGCTCATCAATCGAGCGACTCACCGTCTCAGCACCACTACCGGCTTTGATGTCTGCATTTTCCACTTTGGCCTCCGACATCAAGCGACTCACTGTTTCGTCATCGAGTGCCACACATCTCTTCTCTTCTCTTCTACTCTCGCCCGAGAGCTCCATCTACATTCATCATCATCACGAGCGTCGGCGACGACATCGCGTTCTTCACGGTTCTTCAACCACGTCAACGAAGTCGCGTTTCCGCCATCAAGCCTCCGCGCACATCATCGCGTGAGCCCCTTCCTTCATTCTCACCTTTGATCATTCATATTTCTACATTGGTGACCCCGAGTTTACTTGGAAGCTTGGTTGTACGATTTTATTGTTCCCTGACTTTTTGGACTTAGCACTCTTTTTATAAAATGTATTCATTCTGGATTATGTATTGAATGTTTTTTATGCTCTTGCATTTATACGCGTTTATTCGATGCATACCATGTCAATCACTGTTCAATTTTTGGCAACTAAACAGCCGTTCGCATACCATGCTTGTTGTTTACATTTCTTTCAACATGCCATGCTTGTACATTTCCTAGGCTGTTGTAAATTACTGCATACACTATACAATACATGCACTTTTACATTTTTATCAGCCATTGATTCTTGTGACATTTTGTACTTTGCTCATTTATATCTTTTTCGCCTCTCATCTGTGTATTGCATACACAGCTTCAATTCTGGCAGGGGAGTAATGTAGCGGCTCTTACATGCCCTACTTTCACCGTACATTCATGTCTCCTGTATTTTTCCATCACGGTATTTATTTATATTCATTATTCGTACCACGCGTGTTCATTCCTCCAATCGAGCATCGTGGTTCCGCGCATCGTTCACCCGCGTATTTTCATCACCACGAGGTTTTCTTCACTCCCGCTTACACCTCGGTCGAGTCAACAACTCCTGCTTACATCTCAGTTGAGTCAACACGTTTCTGCATGATTTCTTCTCCGGGCTTGATTCTACTGTGCCTATCACTTCTATCGGCACATTATCTTCACTTTCCCTGCCGTGTTCATCGGGCTGCAGTTTTCCAGTGGAACAGTTAAATCTTGTTCCGACATATGGTGCTTGGTTATCCGCTGGGAGCTGCCAGTTTCTTCACCGGTAGTCCTTCACTCACATGAGCTCGACTCACCGCAGCTCATCTAAACATTCATCATCAAAGTTCGGCTCATCAATCGAGCGACTCACCGTCTCAGCACCACTACCGGCTTTGATGTCTGCATTTTCCACTTTGGCCTCCGACATCAAGCGACTCACTGTTTCGTCATCGAGTGCCACACATCTCTTCTCTTCTCTTCTACTCTCGCCCGAGAGCTCCATCTACATTCATCATCATCACGAGCGTCGGCGACGACATCGCGTTCTTCACGGTTCTTCAACCACGTCAACGAAGTCGCGTTTCCGCCATCAAGCCTCCGCGCACATCATCGCGTGAGCCCCTTCCTTCGTTCTCAACTCTCTTCATCTTCATTGGACTTTCGACTTCATTTCTACTATTGTCGTAAGCTCTATTTATGTACATCGCATTTATTCATGTTCATTATCATCATTGATCATTATGTAATCTCCGTGCAATATCTTCAATTCTCATTTATGCATTTTCACGTCGGGATCACCAATGTAAAAATTCTATGCTGACTAAAATGAGTACGAGCTAGACTTTTACTCACCACTGTCTTTTGTTGTGTAGAAACTTGAGAGTGATCCTATATATGTAGTATGAAGATGACAATGGCGATCGCGATGTGTGTTGATCAATATAAAATGTCGAGTGTAACACGTTGAAGAAGAATTGTAGAAATTGACACTCCTATTATGTTGGGGAACAGAGGGAGTGTTCGTAGTAAATGTCCCCGACGACTATATACAAAATACTAGACTGAAGACTGAAGAAGTGGAGTCTAGTTGTGGCAAGAGTTGGTAATATAAACGCTATCTAATAACCGGAGGCCTCGGCTAAAGTACGAGAAGCGGATCGCGTTCTTCTAAAGTTGTGGCGAAATGAAGTAACGCAAATATAAACACCTCGGGCTAGCACAAGCGTAAATCAAAATATGCTAGCCCAGGAAGAAAGTACACGAAAATAACCACTGGCGCGTTGTAAATAAACCGCGTATTCCAAGTGAAATAAGTGTCAGAATTGAAGTCACGAAATGTCGAGTCGCGAAAAGAAAACAAGCAGTTCGCTATTAACAGTTGTCGTGAAGAAATCACAGGCGTGTACTAGCGGAAATCCAACGGAAAATGCTACACTATGTCGCCGTAGCTGCTGGATGAAAAATCGCGAAGATCGCTATAAAAGTGAGTCAATCCAATACGTGATGATCTTACGAGATCATGCAGGCTAACTAACGAAAAACCCCAGCTCCGTGGCGAAAACGTGACCAGCGGAAGCTGTGATTGGTCAAATTACGAAAACAAACCATGGCGACGAGATATGTAAAGGCAGGTGCCAAAATGTGTCAAGAATGTGAAACATACGACATCGCAGGAAAACTGCATAAATTATCAGCGTAAATTTCTCAAAAGTTGTCGGCACAACAAGGCAATATCAAAACATTACATAAAGTTCGTTGACACTATAATGGAGCATAAATTCACTACAGTCTCAGTGGAACAACCGACGATTATAGAGACTGAAGCTTTCGGTCTACACACCAACACACTTTAGACCTAAGTTAGATCTATGTAGATCTAACGTTAGAACTTAGATCTAAACTCGGTTTAAAAAAAATAATATTTATTAGGTCTATATCCTATACTCTGTATTATAGATCTAAACTAGTTCTACCGATTTGACATTACCTGGTTTGCGCTAAAGTGAGATGACATAATGGAATGTTGCGTGTCACACGATATTAGAGAAAGAAACACAGCAGGAAAATTCTCTCAGCTCTTATGAGTAGTGTACGCGAGCGCTGTGATACTGACGAGTACTAGTAATATGGGCGAGCGAAGTAAACAATCCACACGTGCAATAATACGGCCTCACAATGGGACGGTTGCTATAACGACCACAGCTTACACCTCCCTGCTTGTACGTACGTAGTTCGGATCGGATAAAAGGTTACTACGACCGCGGCCTCTGGACGACAGGGGAACATCTCGGGAACATCTGCTCCCGATAATTTTTCAACCAAAAAATGTGATAATTCTTTTAAGTTAATCAAGTATCTTTCGTTGCAAGACGATATTCAACTACTCTAACGTACATTATTCCTTTATTTTCACAGAATTTTTCACGCGACAAAGTGTCACGAACGCAATGCGATCATGGGCGTCAATCCTGGGGGGGGGGGGGGGGGGGGGGGGGACGGGGGACACGTCCCCCCCCCCCCATGATTTGGTGTTAATCTTCTTTTTTTTCTTCTTTCTTTCTCTCTTTCTCTCTGTGTTGAGAAAAATCAAGCCAAATCAGGCGATCATATTTTATTAATAGAAGCGTCATTAATATTACATTCACATTACCGGAAGTTCAAAAATTGGTTTACGATGAAAATCCTTTCACCATCTGGAAAAAAATCAAGTTAAACCCTTGTATTTTCCAAAACTTATGGCTGATTGTTCAATAGAAACAACAAATTCATATATCTACCCCCCCCCCCACCTTGCATTCTTGTTCATGTTAGTTTGCATTCTTGTTCATGTTAGTTGAACTTAAGACGAACTTAAATTATGCCCCAAATCAAGCCATCTTTCCATCAATTTCAAAAAAAATCTTCAACTTCCGAGGGGGGCACACATCCCCTAGGTTCTACTATTTTATTTTTAATTTGGCAAAAAGTATGCACCAAATTGAGCCATCTATCCATCAATTAAAAAAAAAATCTTCAACTTGTGAGGGGGGCACATCCCCCTCAGACACCCCCTGCGTTCTACTGTTTTTCTTTTTAATTTGGCAAAAAGTACGCACCAAATCGAGCCATCTATCCATCAATTTAAAAAAAAATCTTCAACTTCTGAGGGGAGCACACATCCCCCCTCAGACATCCCCTGCGTTCTACTGTTTTTATTTTTAATTTGGCAAAAAGTATGCCCCAAATCCATCAATTTAAACAAAATCTTCAACTGTTGAGGGGGGCACATCCCCCCTCAGACACCCCTGCATTCTTGTTCATGTTAGTTGAACTAAAGACTGTTTTCTTTTTAATTTGCCAAAAAATATGCACCAAAGCGAACCATTTAAGCATCAATTTAAAAAAAAATCTTCAGACAGCCCCCCCCCCCTCCCCCTGCGTGGCGCGCCCATTCGCCACCCTAACAAAATAACCTGGCGCCGACCTGTCTGAACTTGTGTCCCCCCCCCCCCCCCCCCCCCCCACGGTCTAATTTGGATTGACGCCCATGAATGCGATCTTTTACAACGGTGATCGATTCTCAGCTTTTTTAATAGTTTTTTTTTTTTTTAAAGGAAACCTCACCCTAGAAATAACTTGAAGCCCCACTGTCCTACTTGTAGCTACTTGCTCCCTCTTTATAGAAAAATTCCCCAATCGGTGCCTGTTGGTTCCCCATGATCCTCTTTTTCTTATGTTAGTTGAGTGCTGAGTTAATGTGTTAATCGCTGTGTGGTCTAATCCCTTCTGGCCCAGTAGTATTGACGGTCTTTAACTTATTCTTGTAAATTTACTATATTCTTGTCCATCTACAAGATTCCCCACAAAAGTGTATGCAAGAATAATGTATACAGTTTCTCACCCAGGGGGGGGGGGGGGGGGGGGGGGGTGACAAGGCCAGTAGTTTTTGTATTGAATTACTGGTTGGTTTCATCAAACCTCTACTTGATTCAACGGATTCTGTAAGGGAATATCAGTTTAACAACTGATCCAAACTCTAATGTACCTGGAGATCAGATAAGAGCTTTCCCAGATGATTATATTATGTTCAACATAATTTATCAGTATCTTAGTTAGCGCTGTATCTTCCTCGGCCTCAAGTTTCCACGGTAAACATAATATAAGTGCCATGTATAGGGACTATCGTATTCTTACCTACCCATATTTTCTTTTCGCATCAACTTTTTCGGCATTTACAAGCGTTTTTTTAGGGTACGCGTATGCATGTTCCCTCTTTTTAAAAGCCCCCCCCCCCCCCCACCATCATCTCCTGTGTAAAAGTCAATGGCAGGCCGGACTTTTTTTGCACGAAAAGCACCTCTTTACTGGAGATTTGGGAACATGCATGTGGTCCCTCCAACCCTGGGGTCTGGAGGGGGGGGGGGGGCCTTTACCTTGAATCAGCAGTCAGTGAACTTTCAAATAAAGCAACTTGCTGGTTTAATGCGGAAACTATCTAGTAAATGATAATCGAACAGGAATACGTTTGATGAACCATTCTGGATGACATGAAAAATAATGATGGACCTGTTTGATTAATGCTGACAGTGAAACCTGTTTCAAGGTACTCGCTTATCATGGTTCAGTTCTCAGATAATCTCGAAATGACATCTGATTGTATAAAGAAAATGGGTCATTCATAAATTATAGTACGCTAAGTGTCACCGTAATTTCACTAAGTGGATATTTTTACAGTTAATATTGAATATGCTTTAATGTTAGTAGGCCTACACGAGTGCCAGACGTTACACTTCGTAAGATGTACTGTTCTCATGTGTAATTATGCCGTATATGCCGTAATCATAAGGACATCATGATGAGCAGAATCGCCAAATATTTTTCAATTAACCTTTTTGAGTGATTTAATTCTTGTAATCTTTTATTATTATTATTATTTTTTAATTTTTTTTTTTTTTTACTTGAGAAAGCTTTATCTTTTCTACAAGTGTGAAAGTATATTGCATTACTGCCTAAGAGAGATTACCATTATAAACATAAACAACTTTAAATATTTATATGTGCCTCGAGAAATTAATGATAAATTCCATAAAATAATTCAGATTTGTCATCTTTGGAAACATATCATCATCTGTAATTGGCTGCGTTGAAGATGCTAACCTTTAAAGACTTGTGCACACTTTATATAATCGAATTCTCAAATTATACATTATACATTAAGAGAAATTAATATTTTAGCAGATGGCCGTTCGGAGTTCTCATACAGATAAAATGTACAAAATGTACTTAGCAGGGGCGGCGATCCCGGGGGGACGGGGGGGGGGGGGACACGTCCCCCCCCCCTCCTCAATTTTTCAGGGGGGGGGACAATCCCCCCCTAAACAAATTGAAAAAGTGGGAAAAATAAATGTATGGCAAATACTGACTAAAGACTGCAACAAACTTCTAGGCTCTGGAGGGCCCAAGAGTGCAGCGTTTGGACAAATGAAAATGCAAAAATCTTCTCGCTCGGGAGCTACGCTCCCTCGCATAATATTCTTCAAAGTGTATATTCGAGAAAATTGAAGTGTGAAAAAAGTATATTGCTTGTTTTTATATATTGTTTTGCTAAGGAATGTAATTTGTTAATACAACAAAACTTCAAAAACCTGTGAGGAGGGTAGTCCCTTTCGTCACCTTCACCCCTCTCGTTCACTATGCTCCCTCGCCCTGGCGTAATGATGGGGGTGGGGCTTTGGGGTAGTTGCCCCCTAATAAAATTCAAACTTTTTTTAATTTCTAACTCGATACCAGTGATTTACAAATGTTGCTGAAATGGCATGGGTTTCTCTGAGCTTCCGGGTGATCTGCCGCCTGGACCCCACCAAATGCAGTCCTTTCTTCATTACCTTTCCACTTTGAAAGACACTTGCCTTTTATAAGGACTGAGTATTTAATTTGAATGTTAAATTACTTTGAAATTCTTTGTGTGATTACACTGCCTGAACCACACGCGGATCCAGGGGGGGGGGGGCGAGCGGCCTTGGCCTCCCTGGCCCAAAAAAGAAGGGGGGAAAAAGAGGGGAAAAAAGAGGGGGGGGGGAAATGGTGACCAGTAATTTAACTTTTCTATTTTTGCTCAAGGGCCGGCGCGATTTTCAAATTTTCTGGGTCAAGATAGAAAAAAAAAAATTAGTGCTCACTACCCCCCTAACGAACGAATGCCTGGCCTGAATGGCAGCGTGCTAAAATAACTGTACATAAACAAGCCTATAGTTTCAGACCATGTAGCATTGAAATACATGTACATAGTTCCGAACAGATTTTGATGTTTATTAATCTAGTATTAATACTAATAAAGTGTTAATGATCAGACCAATAGCTAAAAAGACTAGAATTATTCAAAATCATCAGAGCTACCTCATTTGTAATGCATTTTGCATCACCAGTTTCCAGGGGCGGCGATCCCGGGGGGGGGGGGGACACTTCCCCCCCTCAAATTTTTTAGGGGGGATTGTCCCCCCCCCTGAAAATTGAAAAAGTGGGAAAAAATAAATGTATAGCAAATACTGACTAAAGACTGCAACAAACTTCTAGGCTCTGGAGGGCCCAAGAGTGCAGCGTTTGGACAAATGAAAATGCAAAAATCTTCTCGCTCGGGAGCTACGAGCTACGAGCTACGAGCTACGCTCCCTCGCATAATATTCTTCAAAGTGTATATTCGAGAAAATTGAAGTGTGAAAAAAGTATATTACTTGTTTTTATATATTGTTTTGCTAAGGAATGTAATTTGTTAATACAACAAAACTTCAAAAACCTGTGAGGAGGGTAGTCCCTTTCGTCACCTTCACCCCTCTCGTTCACTATGCTCCCTCGCCCTGGCGTAATGATGGGGGTGGGGCTTTGGGGTAGTTGCCCCCTAATAAAATTCAAACTTTTTTTTAATTTCTAACTCGATACCAGTGATTTACAAATGTTGCTGAAATGGCATGGGTTTCTCTGAGCTTCCGGGTGATCTGCCGCCTGGACCCCACCAAATGCAGTCCTTTCTTCATTACCTTTCCACTTTGAAAGACACTTGCCTTTTATAAGGACTGAGTATTTAATTTGAATGTTAAATTACTTTGAAATTCTTTGTGTGATTACACTGCCTGAACCACACGCGGATCCAGGGGGGGGGGGGGGGGGCGAGCGGGCCTTGGCCTCCCTGGCCCAAAAAAGAAGGGGGAAAAAGAGGGGAAAAAAGAGGGGGGGGGGGGGGAAATGGTGACCAGTAATTTAACTTTTCTATTTTTGCTCAAGGGCCGGCGCGATTTTCAAATTTTCTGGGTCAAGATAGAAAAAAAAAAATTAGTGCTCACTACCCCCCTAACGAACGAATGCCTGGCCTGAATGGCAGCGTGCTAAAATAACTGTACATAAACAAGCCTATAGTTTCAGACCATGTAGCATTGAAATACATGTACATAGTTCCGAACAGATTTTGATGTTTATTAATCTAGTATTAATACTAATAAAGTGTTAATGATCAGACCAATAGCTAAAAAGACTAGAATTATTCAAAATCATCAGAGCTACCTCATTTGTAATGCATTTTGCATCACCAGTTTCCAGGGGCGGCGATCCCGGGGGGGGGGGGGGGGACACTTCCCCCCCTCAAATTTTTTAGGGGGGATTGTCCCCCCCCCCTGAAAATTGAAAAAGTGGGAAAAAATAAATGTATAGCAAATACTGACTAAAGACTGCAACAAACTTCTAGGCTCTGGAGGGCCCAAGAGTGCAGCGTTTGGACAAATGAAAATGCAAAAATCTTCTCGCTCGGGAGCTACGAGCTACGAGCTACGAGCTACGCTCCCTCGCATAATATTCTTCAAAGTGTATATTCGAGAAAATTGAAGTGTGAAAAAAGTATATTGCTTGTTTTTATATATTGTTTTGCTAAGGAATGTAATTTGTTAATACAACAAAACTTCAAAAACCTGTGAGGAGGGTAGTCCCTTTCGTCACCTTCACCCCTCTCGTTCACTATGTTCCCTCGCCCTGGCGTAATGATGGGGGTGGGGCTTTGGGGTAGTTGCCCCCTAATAAAATTCAAACTTTTTTTTAATTTCTAACTCGATACCAGTGATTTACAAATGTTGCTGAAATGGCATGGGTTTCCCTGAGCTTCCGGGTGATCTGCCGCCTGGACCCCACCAACGGCCCTAAGGCTGGCACCTGGTTGCTCATCTGACCGTGATTAAATGCCTAAAACTCTGAACTTCCGGGGGCTCTGCCCCCTGGACCCCACCAGGGGCTGTAACGAGGGCCCATGGATGCTCATCTGACCGTTATTAAATGCCTAAAACCCTTGACCTTCCGGGGGCTGCTCAGCTGACCGTTATTAAATGCCTAAAACCCCTGAGCTTCATGGGGCTACGCCCCTCGACCCCCGCCGGGGCCTTGTCCCTGGACCTCACGCCAATTGCTTTGCTCGCTTTGCTCTACCTGATCGAAAATACTTTAGCCCCCCCCCCCCCCCACATTTTGAAAAACGTCCCGCGGGGCCTGTACCATGTAAGAGTGGGGATGAGGATTTTTTTCTACCCCCCTCCCCAACCCCCAACCCCCATCTTTGCTCATTATAGGCCACTGCTCCCCCATCCCTCGCATTTCGTCCCCCCCGGTCATGAAAAGAAATCGCCGCCCCTGCCAGTTTCATTGAGTCTGCAATTTTTTTGTTGACTCGTTATTTCTCTGCTCATTCAGTATTTACGGTATCCCACTCTCTCTTGACTTTTTCGTTAGCCTTCCCCCTCTCCTCAATTAATACCTCAAAAAGGACCCTAAATACAACCTCAATGACAACATCACTGACATTCTCAATGACAGCCTCAAGGACAACATCACTGACATTCTCAATGGCAACCTCAGTGACATTCTCAAGGACAACCTCAATGACATTCTCAATGGCAACCTCAATGACATACACGATGACAACTTCAAAGGCATTCACAATGACGTTTACGATGACCTCAATGACATTCTCAATGACAACCTCAATGAAAACCTAAATGACAACCTCATTGAGATTCTCAATGACAACCTCAATGACATTCACAATGGCAAACTCAATGACATTCACAATGACAACCTCATCGACATTCTCAATGACAACCTCAATGACATTCACAATGGCAACCTCAATGACATTGAAGATGACTACCTATTAAGGTTTTCATCATCAATGACAATCTCAATGAAAACCTCAATGACATTCACAATGGCAACCTCAATGACATTCTCAATGGCAACCTCAATGACATTGTCAATGACATTGTCAATGACAACCTCAATGACATTCTCAATGACAAACTCAATGACATTCTCAATGGCAACCTCAATGACATTGTCAATGACATTGTCAATGACAACCTCAATGACATTCTCAATGACAAACTCAATGACATTCTCAATGGCAACCTCAATGACATTGTCAATGACAACCTCAATGACAAACTCAATGACATTCTCAATGGCAACCTCAATGACATTCTCAATGACGACCGGAAGCTAGGATGGTTTTTGTAAATCAATCACAAAACACAAAGTTATTATTTTTGCCAAGGCATTCAAAAGCTTTAATTTATATGGCACAAAAATAGGAAATAAATGAGTGAAATCAAGGAAAGTTACATAACAGATGAAAACATAAAAATCAATAAATTCCTATTATTCCAAACAAAAAAATTGTAACAGGGTTTCCTACAAACATGATACCATTTTATTATTGCAGTTCTACATCAGCAGATACAACATGGAACTTGTAATCTTGGTTCAATGAAGGTTCATATGCAAATACAAATGAGTGGATGAGAAAATATATATCATTTTCATAAATAAAGTGAAGTACTGTCATAAAAGATGTATCAGACTGCATCTCTAATGCCTCCACCTGTATGTATATTGGTTGATCAGTTGATAGTGTTCCTGTGATCTTTAACATCAGACCTCACATACCCCAATTCTTTTCATTTAATATTTTAGTAGTTTTTCATACTTGATCAGTTTGGTCAACATTCATTTAATCATTATCTTGATAAATTAAGTAATTTAGTAATTAGTAATTTTTCTGGGACTTTTCACACTTTCAAGATCCTGTGGTATGAATTTGGTGATCTGACCTCAAAGCTATAGCAAGTCTTTGCTTTTACAGTGCTTTAAACTGACAGTTCGATGATCTTTTGACCCATTTTAAATCGTGACCTGTGCCTTTAAGTGTGGATTTGGTGATCCTACCTAAATGATATAGAAACTCACTGCGTGTACGGAGCTTGTTAATTAAAGTTCATTGAACGTTTGACCTTGGTCAGATTTGACACATTTTCTAGATTGAACCTGCGCCTGAAAGAGATATACCTGTGTTATCAATTTTGTGATCCTACCTCTTGAAGGTTAAAGGGACAACAACAATGATGATGCCACCGTAAATGCATCTTCTCTCATTGGACATTGTCTTGCTTTGCTACGTAGTGAAGCCCCACGGCGTGTTAAGTACTCTGTCATAATCATGGCAATGTTTAATTTTCAATAAAATAACCACATTCGTATGGTAGAAATTAATCATCTTTGAGTTTCCTATATGCTAATAATTAATTGACTGATTGATTCAAATTTCCCCCATTTTGAAAAGAAATTCCATTAAAATATTGGGAACCATCATTTTCTTTTAGCATAAGATATGAAATAAACTGAACACAAGAATATCACCAGGTATGTGTGGCTGTGACAGAACTTGAAGTGAAGGTTGCTGCACTCATAATTTCATTAAAATTATAGTTTGTAATCACACACTTTTAGTAGTGAATCTGGAAGACCTACAGAGTGGTTTTGGGGTGATACATGTAGAACTGCCTATAGACAAATGAAATAAAGTAACCAAGCCAGTGCTAATATTAACTTGCAAGAACGTTTCCCCCTCTCTGTCTAACAATAAATACCTGTACATAAATCACAAGAAAACCTTTCTTCATGAAAATACAGACAAAATCATAATTATATCATATCGACCGACAAATGTTGGACAGATAAACAAACTCACGAACCATGTAATACAAAACCTAGACAACCAACAGTATACACTGTTTAATATCATCCTAATCTCAAGCCTTGGTTAGGATTCAAACAAAGGTTGATATCATTCAAATGGAACGCCAAGAAATATTTAGTCCACTGATTGGGTGTGTGGAAATCTTGATCATGGTTCATCATTTGAGTTAACTATAAAAAAAAAACTATAAAAAAACAGTTACCCAAATAAACAAGATTTTCTGGTAAATTTTAAACATTTTTTTTTTAACCCTGTGACATTTGACCTCTTACACCCAAAATCTAATCATATAATCCTTGCATAACTTTACATACTTGATCTAAGTTTAAATCTGCTCAATGTTTCTGAGCGGGAACAAAGGGCAGGACAGACAACTGGACAAATCAAAAACATAATGCCTTTGGCACCACATTTGATGACGGAGGCATAAATATCTTAAAAAACATATTTCTCTCAGTTACCAAGCACAATGAATACTAATTTAATATTTTCATGAAACGAAGTTAACAATTTGAAACATTATCTTTATGTCAATACAGATACATAATCACTCTTCTGAAAACAGATCAACATTGGAAAAAGCACAAGAAAATACAGGCGATAGTAATATATATATATATATTTATAGATGTATATATATATATATACATATAATCCTCCTTTTTAAGGTTTTCAAAGGGAAATGTACATTATCCTTTAACAAATATTTACACATTGATTACAATTCCCCACATGATTTGAGATGAGCCTTTGTAGAGAATCATTTACAATACACAACTGTACACAGGCAATCTCATTAATTTGGCAGCTTTGAGGGCATCATTTACAGGCTTTTTTAGTCTAAGAAAGCATTTTTTTACAGCTTTAGAATTCAAGACATCACACATGAATGTCTCTTTCTGTCTAATATAAGGGCTTTTATATATACTTGTCAACAGCATCTATAACGACTAATATTATGTACCTTTAATCTTACACTCTCATGTATATTGTTGTCATGCCATGTTTGTCTGGTAAACTATACTAACCAAAAATTCCTCTTCTTAAAACGACTGAACATACAAAAACAAAATCTTTCATGAATTTTGAACTTCCATCAAGAGTAGAGGGAAGATACATTGGTAAATGAGGGAACTGGAAGGTCAAGTATGCAATTTAATATTTAATAGTGTGATGAAGCACTTGTGTAAGAGACTTCTGAAATTTGTTCATTTGCAATTCACATATGATTTGAATACAATATTGCTAAAACTTAAATCTTAATTTTAGTTAAAGTTGATTTAATTTAACTGTGAGAAATGTCTAGCCTTCCAGGAAACAAAATGATTTGCTCGGATTCACCATTATGTCCAATAAATTTGAATAAACTCAGAGGTAAATTTGTAGGTCTCGAGGGTCAAAACTCAATTTTAACATGAGTTTACTCAAAACATCTTACTCAGTTATCTAAAAAAAAATAGTTTTGTGAATCAATTTTACTCAAGGTGTGAGGTTACTAAAATTGAGAAAGAAATAAAAATACATCAAACTATTTTCTATTTCCATTTGTTTTCTTTTTCTTACCTATGAGACATAATACAGATTTTCTTTCAAAATTCCATCAATCCAGTCAAAATGCAGCTCACATTGCCTGTGAGCTCCATCTAAATTGATGACACATATAAAAAAGATGAATTACACAAGAACTCAAATAAACTGGGCAAGCAATACAATAGAGGAAGTCAATGTCATATATATCAATCTGTACAAAATTACAGTCTATTTCATTTGCCATATAGAGAGACTCATTTGTGTGAGCCGAGTTTCACTTGAAATCATATGTAACATTAAACATAGCTGAAAAGACATGGAGCAGTATCCCTTTCATTCTTTGACCACTGGCAGATGAGTCTGATGGTTAACGTTCCCAAACATGGGTTCAAACACCCAACAGAGACAGAGAATATCCATGTACCCTTCATATGCAATACAAACAAGAAGGAGACCTTTGCTCCGAGGTTTCATTTCCATGGTGCCTTGATGATATGAAGAACTCATCCAGACTTGAAGGTGAATATATCCTTCACACATCCATTGCTCATCCGAGGTCTATTTTGGCAGGTTCATGAACCAGTCATCCTAAATCCATTTTCTCTCATTGGCAATTGGCAAGTTGCTATGATGCTCCAAAGATTCCAGTTTCAACATGAAGAAATGCTTCTCAATAAAGCTCAAAGAGTGAAAGATCTCATCACAGCGTCAGTCATTTAATAATTAAAATATATAACTCTTGCATTTTTGCAAACACATTTCAGTTTTAAAGCATGAGTCTTTAACGCGTTGCTGATGCGCACATCTTCCATGTTGTGGTCAAAAGTCTGTACCTTGGCTATGAGGATTAGGCTATGAGGGGAATCGTTCCTCCTCTTCGTGCGCAAACGCCATGGGATTCGCAGTAACCGTTAGACCAAGGTCGTTTGTGTCGCGAAGAAAGAGGTTATCATGAGAGGGTGGTGGTGCCCCCCGACGCTTGTTCTTGTTCATGCAATCCTGCTGTTGGCTTTCATTGCTGGATGGTGGGGGTGGTAAGCTTCGTTGTGAGGGGGCTTGTGGCTGCATGGACTGTTGTTGGTGGTAGTTGTAGGGGTCTGACATGGGTACCCTGTGCTGTTGTTGTTGTTGTTGGGGTGATGGCTGGGGGAATAGTGAGTTGGGGACGGTAGGACCTGAAATGAATAAAAACGTAAAAGATGATGCGTAATTTTCAAAGGAGTTGCATAAAGAATCTAATTGTTTGTCAAAGTCTGATATTTACCCTGCCATAGGACCAACTACCTACTTGCCGCCTTGTTGTGAATTAGGGTTCCAAACTAAAGATACAACAATCAGAAGATACTCTACTTATCTCCATTAACCATGCTCTTAACCTCCATAAATCGTGTACATACAGTTAATGAAGGGCAATTGTACGGCAATGTACACACATTTAATGTTATTGCATGAAAAAATATCTATGATGGATGAAATTGAAAAATAATGAAAATGGAGCACGTCTCACCTTTTCTGCTATTTGGTGTTGTTCTTCTTGATGCTTTTTTTGCTGAACCATTTCCCATGTGCTCTCCTGCATCGAGATCTCTCCCAACTAAAGTAGAAACAAAATATTGCACATTTTACTTCATTTATTGATCCATATTTAAAAAAGGACACAGAAATTAGGCATTCCTTGTATAACGATCAAAAATAAATATATAAATTATATAGTTGTATAACGATCAGAAATAAATATAAAAATGTTATAATTGTATAACGATCAAAAATAAATATAAAAATGATATCAATACAATAACTAAAATGCATACATCCTATAAACATATTTGTTCAACTATAGACAATAAAAGAAAAGAATTTGAATGAATGAATGAGCCCACCCAAGCATGAAAGTTCAAAACTTGATGATGCAGGTTGCGTGTTTATCATTGCATAATTAATAATGCACCTTGCAAATGTTCGGTACGGATGATTTACATCTTAATTAGGCATCGTGGTGCAGATACTTATGCTACCACACTCAAGTTCAAAATGAAAAATCTATGAAATTGATATGCAGGCCCCTTTTCTACAAAAATAATTCTTTTGAGCAGTCTTGCAATAGGTTAAATTCACAAGGATGAATTGGTAAAGTGTAGAATGTATAATTGGTGCACTTGATATATCCATTACATACTTGTGATGTCATAATATGAATGTTAACTTATTATAAAGGTGATACATTATGTATTACCCAATTAAATCAACAATAAACATCAACAAAAAGTCTTGATATCCTGTGTCAAATGCGATGAAATTACTGACTCACATGTTTGTATTTGTTTTTGTGTGATTTACACTTTAAATATACATGTTGTAACATAATCTGATCACTGATCACTTCCCTTCACTTGAAAATTCAATTTCAATTTAAAGCATATGTTTATGCACGATACAGACACTGGAATGGGAAATAGTGATATTGTGCATTGAATTATGCCTACCTTTTGCTGGTGGAGAACCAACGACTGGAATGCCTGCATTTTGAGCAGCAGCTGTGACTGCTGCAGCAAAGTCTGTCTCAGCACAGAATGATCCATCTGAACTACAGCTGGAGGCGCTGTTACGATTGCTTCCACCCGTACTGCTCCCATTCATTGATGCCCACGACGCCATCATTGACCCTAGGTGCAATCAAACACAGCAAACTAGCTATCAACTCAATTTCTTTCATTCATCTGGGTTCTTTATACAAAGAGGGTTTTATTTCTTTGTCATATTTTATTCCTTCTTGTTTTCATTTTTCCGCCTTGTCCTTTTCTTTCTCCATAGCCTCTCTCTCTCTCTCTCTCTCTCTTTCTCCTTTTAGCTCTTCATTCAAAATCTCTCTCAGTTTTCTCTTCTAGAAGAGATAACCCTTTTTGAGCTCTTGCTGTGAAGGTATGTGTCCCTGACTAATGTGCAAGTACATCTATTTGACAGATAGAGAGCATTTTAGTTGCAATCTAGGCTTAGTAAGGTTTTAGGAATATGGGCCCTTGTGACATTACTGACTTACCTGTACAATTACTAGATGTTTCTAAATCTGTTTCTAAATCATCTGGTATTAACTTTGAAGACTGGTCTGGCAAACCTGATGATGCGAACAAGAAAAAAAGTGCAAAAGAAAACATGTTTAGAACAACATTTATATTACAATATTGCAATAGTAAACATATTATATATAAATGAACATTACAGTATCTCCTTCAACAATGCCAGGTAGAAAGGTGGCTCACATTTCATTTGTTTTTCATCAGTTTCTTTTACACCAGGTGACATTTCATGCCACATTTTGTTCTCCGATAAAATATATTAGTTTTCTTTAATTAAGGGCTGCCTATTGTTAGAATCTTGTTTCAAAACTTCCATTTCATCCTGAAAACTGTGAATTTTTCAAAGTCTTTACCTTCCTCTTACCTATGTTATGTGCGTAATCACAATCATAAATTTGCAAAGGTGATTGTGCACATAACTTGGGTGTTAACAGAAGGAAGACACTTGGCAGACTTCACTCTTTGGAAAGCAAACTGGACCTTTAAAAATAAGATTCTAACAATAGAGTCTTAAATGAAAGAATACTAAAAACTTCTTTTGGAGAATGACCTGTGGCATGGCATTTCACCAGGTGAAAAAGGGAAGCTTAAGCCACCTTTCTGACATGCTCAAACCAATTCTTAGGTATACACAACGTCAATGCAAAATCTGTACTGTTGTCCCACAAGAAGTAATTTATCAGGGCCCGACCAGTTTTCAGCCATTGGCCCCTGATTTAAAGGAAAATCATGATGACTTAGCACTGATGAATAGTTTTCTTCTTAAGAATCCTTTGTTTTCCTAAAATCAACTATGATGCTATCATGGGTTTCTCTGATTTTTATCGTATTACATTAAGAGCAAAATATAAAAGCCCAAAATCTCCATGATGCAATCAATTTCAAGAAAGTTTAGAGGAAAGTAACCCAATTCTATTAGTCTACCCCACTGCCATTAAAGCGGACAATGGCTAAGATGATGTACCTGTGTCAGGAGCTATTCTTGGTAGCATAGGAGCTGCTTCTTCATTGTCTGACATGGCTTCACTCTGTGACATGAGATCATCATTAAACTCAAGAAGTTCTCTACCAAGCTGCTCATGCCTTGGATCATCAAACACCTGATGAGGGGCGAGAGGTTGCCCCCCTGCCATACCCCCTGCCATGACTGCTACAGGGTACATCTGTCCATTGATGAGCCCCATAGGTCGATGTATGGGTAGGGTAGTGGTGTGCTGCTGGGGCTCATCTCCCCTGGAGATCACTGGTAGGGTATGTGGAAGCCCATTGGACTGGGGATGAGGATGTGTGTAGGGATACTGAGGGTACTGGGGGTGTTGCCTCATGGGGAGAGCTGGGGCATGGTGGGGATGATGTCCTCCAATCATTGCTGGTTGAATAGGGACAAACGTTGGATGTGTATGGATGCCTTGGTGAGCACCTGGATGACCATTAGGATGACTGTTTGGATGACCATTACATGGAGGAGGTGATTTGATCTTGCCTAGAGAGTCTTGAGATGGTGTAGAGCCCATTGGGGGCTCTTCAGGAGGAGGGGGAAGAAACTCAGTCCAGTTGCATGCTGGGTATTTGCTACCAGTTCCTGTACGTGTCTTGACTTTTCTTCTGCTTCCTGTTGAGTGAGAGATATAATGATCATAGGAGAGTAAGCTCACCATGTTCTTTCAACAAACATTTCTATTTTCACAATGTGAACTTAACTTCTGAAAAAATAGTGCCATATAAATCCTCCTCCTTCTTCTCATTCTTCACCTTCTTCTCCTCCTACTTCTCCTTCTTTCTCTTCTTCTTCCTCTTCTCCTCCTCCTTATTATTATATCAATAATTATGTTCATTGAAAATACATGAAACCTCCACAAAACTGGATTTCGACTGTTTTAAATACCACTGACTAGACTAGACACTTTATACAACATCTAAGAAGAGAAACAGAGTGTTACAAACCTTGTGAACTTGCACCAGAATCACTTAGACCACTTTGACATTCAACACAGAGATGTGATCCCTCTAAAAACGAAAATAACAAAAAGAAGAAATGAGATGTGCCCATACAAAAATGAACATAAGAAAAGGGAGTAAATAGGTACTCCATTAAGATTGTCCAAAGAATAAACATCAAAACATGTATTCAGATAAAACAGAATATTTCATTCTGTTTTCTCACCTCTTTGTGGGGGTAATGGAGGTCCTCCATCCTCTCCTGGTCTTCCCTTCTTGCCTGACTTCTTACGCCCCTTATGCTGACCAGCACAGGAAGGTAAGGGATAGGTGATGGATCCTGAGGCCGAGCCTGAACTCGTATCGCTGCAGTTCTGCCTTTGAGCCATGTATTCTCGGATCTGTGACATTCAAAGTAGACATATAATACAAAGCATGATATAAAGCAAGAATCTAAATACAAGAAACAGAGTTACACAAGACAATGCCAGTTGATCTGGGCTCAGTTGAGAGCACTAGGTAGTGTGTCCATACTGATCTGGGCTCAGTTGAGAGCACACTAGGTAGTGTGTCCATACAGTACTCCAAACCAATATCAAATGCACAGTCAAAGTAGATGAAACCCCCTAGATAAAGTACATCAAATGTTATTTTATTTTTTGGTATGAAAAACCTCATAAAAATGAGTTAGCCTTGATAGGAGTGTCCATTATCACTTGTTTGAAGTACGATTCATTGTACTACAAAGTTTACAGATAAGCATTTCCAGATATCACTGAAATTTCATGCACTATTAACCAAAATTAAATTTCAAATAGAAAAGGCATGATTTTCTTTGTCAAAACATACATGGAGAGATGTGATACCAAAGTTTGCACAGTTTGATCTGCCAACAGCACTAAAAGACTAACCCATTGTTCAGTGTACGCTACTATCTCATGCAGGCTTAATACTTAGATACCATTAAGGGCTACATGTTACTGACTTAAGAGTTCAGCTGAACACATTAAACTGGTCGGGTAGGATATGGCGGTGAGAGGAGGAATGACTTACATTAGGAGGCAGTACGAGTGTGGTGGATGCATATGGTTCTGTCATATGAGGTGGTAGTGACTGGCAGTGTTCTTGGAGCATATGATTGCACTGATTAAGAGGCAGTGTGTGAGCCATGTGAGGGCATGAAGGACTCTCATCATCATCATCTGATTCATTGTCAACAACCGCATAAACAGGAACATTATTGCTGCAAACAAGGAGAAAGTGGCTTTTAGGATTCAAACACTTGATAATAATAATATATCACATATTACAAGGCGGTTTTGGAGATTTGGGTGTACGTTCATGTAAGCTGCGAACTGTTCATGACATATTTAATATATGTTGTATTCTTTAATTGTTCGCAGAGGTATGCCAAGCTCAATTTTTAATTTTTGACATGTTTGAAGTATGTGAAAAATTGATTTGTCCCAAGTTATGTTTCTTGAGAATGTGACCTAGCTATTAAAGCTCTAAAAGAATTCAACCAAGCAAGGCCTGAATTAAATCATTCCACCCCACCTTTCATTCTTGATTTATGAAAAACACAACCCCCCCCCCCCCAAAAAAAAAAAAAAAAAAAAAAAAAAAAAAAACACAAACAAACAAACAAAATAAAATCGAATTTACAAAGGTATGAATAATTACTGTACATTGTTTATTTCCAGAATATTGAGATTCCTATAGTAATTTAAACATTGTTTACTTTTAATAAATTTGTTTATAATTACCTGTTATAATGGTTGGTTTTATGTGTGCCGATGTCTCCTTTCTCGCCTTGATTTGCCTGCATTTGCTCTTTGGATTCTGTGCCAAAATAAAAAAAACAAATGAACAATAATTTCCCTATAATTCCAATCAATGAATATATCAATACAATTTTTTCAAAATTCTGGAGCATCTTTTATTTATACAGGACCTCCAATAATATGCTATGCTATGTATTTTTACACTTTATTGTAGAAAACAGAAAGTAATGATATTTTTGCACATGACAAACATGTGATAATTACATCACAATCCACTGACCAAATTGCTAATTTAGTGATCTCATTTTTCAAACTTTCATACCTCTTATTATTGGTCCAATTTAATTCAAACTTTCACCATTCTGTTAATATCTTATTTTTCACCTTCATACAAATGAACTTATTACAAAGGTCGGATTGCCCTTGAACTGGACAGATAGTATGGGAGTGTAAAATAAAACAATACCATGTCAATAATAATCAAAGCAAAGGTCTAATTTATGTTGAGGTAGTGAGTATCAAGCAGGTTAGTGCTGTCAATATTTCAGTTTGTGTTATGCAAGCCAATAAATACTTCAGGTTTTGATTTATATTGATGTTACTAGTAATATAGCACATGTAAAGTAGATGTAGAAGATAATGCTCTCACTAAGCACAAACCAAACTGTTATCATAGATATATGTTTTTTTTTGCTTGCAACAGCATGATAGGTATTAAATACAACACAAAAAGATTCTTATGTGAATTTAGAAAAGTATTTTATGCTGTAAATGAGTATTCTACTATTTTTTGGTAATCTAAGCTGGGCATGAGGTGCTGAGTGAAAGATTGAAATGGAATATGCAAGATAAAAGGAATGATACTATTTGATCTTGATTGTTTCTAATGAGTCTACTACTTCTTTGCTTCTATGGCTGATTCAGACACATTCTACAGTATTCCACTGAATAGTTGAAGAGAAAATGGACCAGGATTTTATTTTCTTCTCTTTTCATTTTTTTTTAACTCACTGTTAACAGTTAGAAAAGTCTGTCTTTTTGCTTGATGCCAAATTTGCCACAGTGGTTTATGGTTTTTGGCTTGTGAACATTTTCCATGTAAGTGCCCAAACACACACAGATGTAATACAGGACATTTCTTTGATCTATCACTTATTGGGATAACAATATTTCCAAACATGTTGGAGTATAGGTTACTGAATTATCAATAAGCGCACTTCATCATTCTCCATGCTTGTATAAACAGCAACAACCCTCAATGAGACAGCAAGTCAACCCATATTAGAAATAGAATCATAACACAACTTGGCATGCATTAGTATTTCAGATAACTTTAGCCTTTGTTAAAAGCTCAAAATATTGATTAGATTGAACAAATTTCTGCAGCTCATGAACATTTAAAAGAGACAAATAACAAAGAAAACATTCCACCATCAAACCCTTCCCTATTCTCAATGTTTTATGAATCTTTTACTTGTTGGCAAAATTCCCATCTTCAGCAACGGTGTTCAATTGGACTCATAGTCTGCCCTCTGGCTAATGTTTCAAACTGGCATTAGATTTAAAGGCACATACATCGAACTGCCAGTAAATTCAGTTTTGTGATCGGTGGAATGTTTTCTTTATAAAATGAGGACCAAGTATATATTTTTGAAGAGTAGGATAATTCAGAAAGTTGTCAATTTCATTAATAGAATTTTTCCCAACGAATTTGGAATTGAAAGGTATATCATTTTATGAGAGGCAGGAGGGTGTTAGCTCTATGTGATATTACTTGAGTTGATGGCCCATGAGCAAGTAATTACTTGTTCATATCCACTGCCCCCCCCCCCCCCCCCTCCCTGGAAATGAGGGAAGCTGATGGATATGAAATGTTGAAGGTTATTACCTGATAATAAACCTTTCATTATCCTTATACCAATTTTATTCAAACAATTGGCAATTTTGTTTTTTCCTGAGAAAACATACTTGGTCTTCATTTTGAGTACAGCAATGCCTTAATTCTTGTGTGTCAATTACCAACCATGTATGATGCAGACATTCTCAAAACTAAATTTAAGAAGGAATTATCTTTTAGTATCTGCTATTACTTGGTCGGTACAAACTGATCCAAAGATATTTGTAGGTAGTACAATGCCACTCTTAACTCACAATCCTTAAAAAAAAATAATCCAGATGAAGAGTTTCTATTGACTTGGGTATGAAACCGCTATGGCTGGTAGTTGACATACAAGAATGGAGGATCATAGAGAGGGATAGGATGAATGTTAGTAAGTATGTTAGCGCACCGTAAGCCTCTAGCAGCCAGTAAGCTGGGCTAGTAGTAACCCCGCTATGATGGGGTTGCAGGTACTGGTTCTTGCCCAGCACACTGCGCAGTGAGCCGTTAGGGTGGGCGGGAGCAAAGGTTGTCACTGCAGCCGTAGCAGAACCGTTACCATGGAGACTAGATGATTGGCACTCAGAAGAATTGTTGCTCCGCCAGGTCTGGTCTGGGGGCCAGCTGGGGTGACCGTTGCTGGCCGGTTGACCATCGTATTGGCTAGTCAGTGTGGTCCTAATTGAGAAGATGAATAAAATATAACTTTCAACATATATCTCAGAATGAAATGAATATTCATTGTAAACTGTTATCTCCCGGCCTTTCCCTTTTGGCACAAAAAATGGCATGTATCTGAAAAATTGTTTGAGTAAACATATACCGGTAGGTGTATTCATTGCCTCACTATTCTTTATGCATTGCTCTATAGAGATAACTCAACAGTTTAATGGCACTCTGCTTGTAAACATCAACAAAATATAAGTAAATGTAAGAACACAATTTCATGATAAGAGACATAATGTGTGCTGAATATGATAGTTGCCAACTCCTACTAAGACCATTATAAGAACTGATAGAATCACTTACATGTGAGTTGCTCCTTCAATTCCAAGTGGATCTACATGGTAAGAGAGAAAACAGAAAATTAAAAATGTAAACAACAATCTGAATGAAACAAATTCGTTCAAAGATTCCTGCAGTGCTAACATTACATCATAAATGAATGATTTTTGGGTTTTTGTACACGACACAAATACAATAATGGAGGAGAATACAATTCATTAATATATACTTTGGAAATTGGAAATTAAGAAAACTCCACTAATGTGAACATGTTATTATGACATGCATTGTCTACATCAATGTTGACGATGCATGTTCTTCTTTCTACTCACTTTTTGTAAGATTGGCAGCATGTTTCATCCTCCTACGCCTCAGAACGAAGGCAATGAGAACAAGGGCGATGATGAAGACAATGGTGGCGATGATGGCATAGACCCACGGCTTTGTAGCTTCACCATCAATGTTCTCAGGGTCACTAGGCGCTAGTCCTGCATCAACTGTAAATTGGCAACAATCAATATTGTAATGATATGGTATGAGTGTTAAACTATATGCATAATTATACATAGTGCCCTGTATAAAATAGTAATCATTTGATATACCTTGTATGACCTTTGAACTTAGCATGTGACTCGAGCATGTGACCCTTGAAAGCATCATAGCATGGAAGTTCCCCAAATGAATCGCTGACCGAAGTTTGATTAATGATTGCAAAGTTATGTGTCACAAGAGTTTTTTGCAGGTAAACTTTGAAATTTGTGACAGACAGTTGGACGAACGGACGGACGTCTGCATCATCGGTAGGTGAGACAATACATTTTGAAAAGGGTTCAGTCTAGGGAATTTTGCTGTCTTGGTTAATTAGTTGGTACTTACTTGGAATAGGTGAAGCTACCGTAACCAGGACGACTGGACTGGATGGACCTGCTCCAGCAGCAGTGAATGCTGCTACCTGAACCCAGTAGACCTTGCCTGCTTGTAGACCACCCACCCGACCTATGAAGGTAGTGTTGCCCTGGATGGTGCGGTTACGAGCATGGGAGGAGATGTTGCCCCGGCAGGAGATGTAGTAGCCCTCGATGTAACCTTGGACCAGGTCCCGACCTGGAGCATGCCACTGGACCAGGACTGCACTGGTCCCATTGCTACGAGCAATCACATTCCTTGGTGGTCCACGTGGTCCTGAGTATAATAAAATTCAATTTAAATGAGCTTTTACTGACAAGGGTATTCAACTTCATAAATATAGGCCTATAGACAAACGTCAATAGGCCTATATTTGTAAACCTATACAGCAATCCAAACTTATTTATGATACATGATGTGCAATGTGCACAAGGAACATTAAACTTTTGGTTCATTGAATGTTTATAGATTGACACTTTTGAACATATTCTTCTAAAGCAAATGAAATTTACCCCCTCTTCAACCTCATGTAAAAAATACATGTGTATGCTCTAGCTGCAATCAATTTTCTACCATTAATCAATTATTAATTAAAGCCTTGATTCAGAATGTTACTTAACACGAACCCTAGCTAATAGCTTAAGCTATAACTAAAACACAAAGTAAACTAAGCCCTAACTCTATTACTTTGACCATATATTACAACAAATGTTATATCAATGGTTTATATATCAGTAATACTCACTGTCAGCAGCAGTCCAAGTCTTAATCTGTTCTCCCTCCTGTCCACAGTAAAGTCCACTGAATGGCTGTACACTGATAGAGTACTCCTGCCATGAGGTCAGGCCATTCAATACAAAGGTTCTAGCAGGCCCGGTGATGGTTTCCACTGAGTAGTTAGAGGAGGAGGAGCTAGAGGTGCGGTATTTGATGTGAAACCCTTCTACGTATGCCGCTGCATGTCTCGCAATCTGTCAAACAAAACATAAAGGAATTGATATTTTCTCCTTTTTTTTCATCACATTACCTTATACATATCTAATTATAATATTTTATAATGTATCAGACTAGACAGTTTCTTTGACACTGTGTACATTACGTCTACCATTGTTATCTATCTGTTTGTATTTATTATTTGTATTTGAAACCCAACCTCAAGTTTTAGTTGCAATAAAGATATAATAACAATAATAATAATTGAATATTGAACAATGTGTTTAATAGCTACATGCAGGATCATGTTCTTCATTAAGAAATTCATGCCGCTTGAATATATGTTTTGCCCACTCTAGCAATATTAAGTTTTATAAGTCAGAATTTAACACTTCAACTCTAGAAAACTAATGTACAATATTTGTTCAAAGGCTTGGTGGCATATAGTGGGTGTACATTATGTATTCGTTCAGCTGGACATAGTACATGTACTAATATGAGCGAAGATGTAAATACACTTTACATAGATAAATAAATACAAAACTATAGTTTAATGCAACAAAACGTTAACTCATAGCCAGGGCAACGAGAAAGCAAACTGACCTCCCACTTGACTTGTAGGGCATTAGATCCAACGGTCTCAGTTCCCACGATATGAACGTCGCTGCCATCAAGTTTGTTCTGAAGGATTCGATTGTCTCCATGAACACAGAGTGGACCGGATCCTATACAGAGGTAAGAGAAGCAATGAAGATAATATTCAATGAAAATAAAATTGATTGCAATTCAGTTTTACATGTATGTTTACATATTGCATGTAACTTTGATCACTGATCTTCTAGATCCCTGTAAATCATATCTGAAAATGTTTGTTCATATGTTCGTTCGTTTGTTCATTTCATTTTCATAAAAAACACAGCAAAAGCAAATAAACATACAAGTCTATATACATACTCAGGCAGAGAATGTTCAGTTCATACGATAACTTCGAATGAAATAGGAGAACAAGGAAGAGCCAATCGTGGCCTTGTTTAAAAAAGTTCCCCTGAATATTATAATGTATCAAGTCTTCTATTTATAATTCTTCCCACCCCCTTCCTCCCCTCTCTGTCTTTCCTCTCCCTCTCACCTTCACTCATAGTTCTAGCAGCCACTGAGGGGGACTCCTGTCCTTTACTGTTGCAGATCTGTGGCCTGACAGACACTGTGTAGTCCATGCTAGGATCTAGTCCAGTCAGTATGGTAGAAAGCATCCCTACCACTGTCTGGAAGTGTGTGCGGCTAGCCCCATCTGAGAGCAGGTAACGCACCTGGTACCCATCTATCTGGTCCTCGTTTGCAGGGGTCTAATATCAAGCAAGAAATAGAATGAAACAGATTAGAACTCAATAAACCATTATGATTACACCAAGTTACATCAATCTACTACTAATATGATTCCAAGATTAAAGATTCTAGTCATGGGATGTCTTTTCATTGTTGATTGATCTGGAGAAAATCAGTGTCATAAAAAATACATTTAACTAATTATGAATTCACTTTGTTAATATCCAGAAGAAAGAATAGATTTTCATGAACCAAAACCAATAGGCAAAATATAGGAATACTTCACAGTTACAGCACAGATAGAAAAAATAATGCCTCCCTCGCATTGGTGGCTGGAGCATAAACACAGAAACTATATTCTTTTAAGAATCAGAAAGTATGGACAATCAGACATATGGACCATGATGCGCTGTTTATAATTAATCCCTACTTACATGGACTTCCCATGAGACTTTGATAGCAGTGGAACTAAGAGCAATGATTGTAGTGATCTCCACAGTGATGGACGATTGATCTGACAGGCATTCCCTGGAGGGTGGGGGATTCGCCGTCTCTTCTGAATGCGGGAAAAAACATATATAATAATATTACGTTTATAAAGCGCCTTTTCATAAGATACAAAGGGCATAAACCAGCAATATTTACAAACAAACAAAGAAAAATGACATTATCATACAGAGCTTACATTAATTACTAGTACAAACAAAGATGAATATAAAAACAAATCAGAAAAGATGTGTTTTCAGATGCTTCTTGAAAGATGTGAGAGTATGGCAATTCTTCAACACAGGGAGTAAGGAGTTTTCTTGCAACTTAAACATGAATGAAACTAACACACGTTTATATTGATAGAAAGGAAATCTGTGTTTGCTTTCACGTAGGAAATATCCACACATTAATGATAATAATAGTGAGTTCTTGTATAGTACTCATGTTGTGTCCTGGTGCTCTACAGACATCAAACATCACTGGTTGTAAGATGAGCATACCTGATGTTGAGATGCTTTCTGACATGGGACCAGGTGGGCCAATACCATTAGAGTTGATCGCCCTGACAACCACCAAGTGGGAGGATGAAGGGACCAGATGATTGATGTTGTATGTTTCTCCTTGGATACCGTTGCCAGCTACCACCCATCCTATCATTAAATCATCAAGTAGATAAGACAATCAGAACAAGGCTCACCTCAATCATTGACAACTACGCTCTATATTCAACTATTTAAAGTTAAAAATATGTGTTTTACATTTATATACAGTTTGTAGTAGTGGTGGTTATTTTACCTGACTGCTAAGAAAGCATAAATGCTTGTTAGTAAGCAACCAGAGGACTGATGGCTGTAGGTCCTCTCCGAGAGACCTGGTAATTAGGATTAATACCTTACCAAGGACACTAGTGCATCGCCTTGGTTTCGAACCCGGGTTACCAGATCACGAGACCACTGCTCTACCGACTGAGCTACGGCGCCTACATGTATTGTGCTGTTCATATTAAACTCAACTTCAGTATTACACCTATCCATATATATATGGATAGAAGACCAGAATAGAAGACCAGACACAAGTGGCTTCAAGGCGCATAAAAATAGATGATCATTACAAATAGGTCATCTTTGTAGAGAGTTGTATTTTTTTCTCTACCTCAAACAGACACTTTAATATATGTAGAACTGATCGCTAATCAAACCACACAATCTCACTGATTCTCACCTGTCACCCGCTCCGGGCTGAAGTACTCGACCTGATAACCTGTCACAGAGGGCGCTCTATTAGCTGCAGGAGCCGTCCAGCGTACCTGTATGGATGACCTGGTCACATTGACCCTAAGAGGCTGTGAGGGAGACCCTGGCAGCTCATTGATGCTGGGGGCAGTCTTTACAGGAATGCCTGAGGTCTCAGTTGATTCTGTGTTTGAAAGAGATCACAATGACATCATGCCAAATGTAAAAAAAAACATTTCTTAAGGAGTAAGACAAATAAATTGTAGGGAAAAAATAGGGGGGGGGGGGTTCATGTTTCTACACAAAACAATTTAATAGATAAACAAAATGAGTGTGACTGCATCTCTAATATACCTCTGCCTGTATGTTCATTGACTGATACCTTATGACCCAGTGACATTTGACCTCATCTGCCCAAAATATAATCAGTTCATCTTTATATGCCAGAATACAAACCTGATCAAAGTTTCGTCAAAATCCACTCAATTGTTCATGGCCCTTTTTATCGCGTTCACCAAGAGCGGAACAGATGGATGTTCATCCATCCATCCATCTGTTCCGCTCTTAGACAACCCAAAATATTAAAGTGGTAGTATGAATAACCTGCCCACAAAGTCCGCCTGTCTTAAGAGACCACTCATACTGTTTACATGGCCTTTACAGATACATGATTGACTGAAGAAGTCAAGAGATTTTAACAACGTTAAGGCTGATAACCATTCATATGGTATGTACCTTTACTAAATGTAACTTCAAGTATAAACACCCCATAACAGAAAATTCAAATGGATAATACAATGGCTTACAAGTATGACTATAAACTATGAACATACCTATAACAAGAAGCGTAGCTGACTGACTGGTCTCACCGCTGTTACTTGAAGCTAGACAGGAATATAATCCGCTATCATCCACCTGTACCCCTGTGATCTCCAGTGTGTTATCAGGGTACATCAGGCTAAACCTATTTAAACACAAAACCACACAAAATGCTATTTAAACACAGTCAAAGTATTATGATAATTTACACAAGCCTATTAACAAAATTTACTTATAAAATTGTTTAAGAAGATTGGCAATAGAATCTTTTAACGTATTTAGGACAAATTTTTTTGAATGGCTAAATTAATTACATGTTGTTTTTAATATTGGCAACAATAATTTATTCATTTTATTGCTACACTGTGTTAATGAAATGTAATGTCTCTTAAAGCAATATACATATATATATCAATACAATATTCACTGGATGTTCGGTTTTAAACGTTCAAGAGTAATATATAGCCTACTTGATGTCAAAGATTTGAAGGTAGGATTAACATTTATCACTTTCAATGCTAAGATGCTTTATTCACGTGTTCTGAAATGCATCAATTTCAAATCAAGCCATTCACAGATGACCAAGACAATTACCTTGGATTTGAGGTTGTCAGAGCGATTCCATCTTTTGTCCATTCAATCTGAGGGGATGGGTTGCCAGCAGAGCGACACATGAATGTAGCTGTAGAACCTACTACCAAGGTCTGATTGGCTGGACCATACTGGATGAGAGGGGGCGGAGCTAAAGACTCATCTGAGGTGTGCGGAGTGAATAAGAGAGAGAAAGAGAAAGATTTACATGGAGAGGCAAGCCAATACATGATCACTCAATATTCTGATTGAACTTTTCAGCAATAACTACCCTGTAGAAGGCATATTAAACAGACAAAGATCCATGTACTCTGGCTGCAATTGTTGCCTTCATAACATTAGCATTTAGAAATGAACTGTAGGTATGAGGGTAATCTTTATGGCCCATCTCTTTTCTATTCCAGCTATAAAAACACATTCTACTTAACATCAGTCATTGCATTTTACGATTACAGAAACCTTTCTTTGACCTCAGTGTTTGAATCATTTCAAATACAGCAATTCTTCAGGTATAATTACAGATCCATAGCTAAAGAAACCCCATGTTATTTTACAGTTGATATCTAAACATTGAAGTGACAGGAGAGCGTAAACTGAGATTGATGCCAACGTCCAAACAAAGATAAACAAAGAGCAGCGTAGTAGAGAGTGACACATATGCTTTTACAAAAAGTGAAACCATATATACAAGGAGGGCAAAGATTTTGCGGAGATAAAAGGACAGATATAAACACAAAATACAGAATAAAATTGATCAAAGTGAAAGCATAAAATGTTGTGTTGGTGTTGTTTGTGACACTTATTATTAAATCAGTTCATACAGTGTCATGAATATGTATGTGCACAACAGATGCCTTGTGCATATTGTAAATAATGGTGTAAGGATTTTCCTAATCATAGCATAATTGAACAAAGTGATATCTTTTTCATACTAAAAACATTTTGTTTATATCTTTCCAAAATTTCTTTAAATGGAAAATATAGCTTTTAATTAACACTCCAAGAAAACTTTAAATAACTATCAGATTGCAAGAATTTTAAATTGATTTCAATACTACACTCTTGTAACTTAACCAAGAAGGCTTTAAGCAAATTTTAACTTCATATAGTCTCCAATTGAAATCAAGAAAATACCAGTTAGCATTGTTCCTCATAGTTTTTTCTTTTCTTTCTCCCACACAAATAGACTTGTTATAGACCATTGAATGGACCATGGCATGGTCTGAAAGGGAGGGAATGTAGACCATGTGTGCTGGGGTGACAATTGTCTGCTTTGACAAGACCGTCATGAAACAGGAGATTTATGGATTCTCATTTTACAAGTGCAAGTTGCCAATAGGTCGCTTCATACAGGGTTATTTTTCTACTGTTCATAGAAAACCCAAAGAACTGTATCTTTGAATTGATCTTATATATGTATTGGATCACATGCCAAGATTTACACTACTTAGAGGAATTACATGTATGTGTTTGTTTTATTGTGGGAGCTTTAAGCATATCTTATTGAACAATGTCAAACTCTCAAACAAAAATAATATTTTGAAAATACACTGGTGGTATTTGATTTTACAAATCAGTTTGAGCTCCTAAATATATATACCAGGTAATATGTGCTGTGCATCTTGAAAAATACAGATACTGTAGGTTGGATTCATCCACTGAAGTCATTACATCCCCATAATGCCCTATTCAGATGTACATGAGCAAGTAATTCCATTTTCAAATATGAAGAGGTCTTCTCCAGATAGCATACCAGACCCTCCTAAGGTACCACGTAAGCGACAACGACAGAAGAAATTTGGTAGCGAGTGAGTCTAGATGGCGCATAGAGTCGGTAATGACAGGGGCTGGTGTTGAGTTTCATGAGAGGGCCATATAGCAAGGGATGAATAAATGCTTTTGAAATCTAATCCATGTCTGACAAGCTATCCACAAATTTGATTTTCTTTTTTTATTAATTCTTGCTCTAGAGTTGCTATAGGAGGTCAATTGGTTTGCTGCTGATATCCATTCCTGCTGGCTACATCCACATCTCTCACAAGTTTCTAAACCTTTAAAAAATATCTAAATCAAATCTTTTGCCTATCACATGGGAGTATAGCCCTTTATTGACAAATAATTATATCTATGAACAGGACACTATCTTTTTTAAATATAAACATCCTGCCATTATTGTTGTTTGGTCTAAAAACCAGTTTGTTTACTTCCCAATTGGTATTTTCCCATACGGTCTACACCCCAGACTGAGCCAATTTCTTATTATTTTGACGATTCCAAAACCTCACTGTAATATGTGCTTCATGATCAACTTATCCAATGCCCAGAACTCAACTCTAACTTTAAAAATGCAAAGCTTATATTTTCACCAAAGTTTGACAACCTACATGTACAAGTGCAATTGCCACCTCATACTACAACTGTAAATCTTCTAAATATATTAGCTTTTCAAAATGAAAAGCCAAATTCAATTTCCAGTTCCTTCCTGAAATGCTAGATTCAGTGAATTCTAACCATAAATTGCATAGACACTGGCATTTGGCCAAGCCTCTAGCAATTCTTTGAGCGAAGGTAATAAATCTCCAATCATTATACTGAACAAATCTTTTCCAGATTTTACATTACCGGTAGTTGATATAGAGGAGATGGTAGTGTACCCATGGTGAAGTACAGCGTACGAATAACAACCATACACTGCACAGTTTAGATCTTCAGACAAAATAAAATGGTGAAAGTGCTGAGAGTAATTTCATTGAAGCAACTCCATAAGACCATACATGTTTCTTTTACACAGCTTTCCGCTGATGTGTATGGCTTTGTACACCACATATGAATGTCATCTATTGCTGCAGTAGGAATGACCAATTTCATCTTAAATTGAATCCAACTGGTGGACGTTTGGAATATGATTGATGGTTTATCGTAATTAACTTCTTGTTTCCCTCACTGCCTAGGGAGCTAGTTCAACAAGGGACACTTTTGTTCAATTTCACTCGCATTCCCTCAGTGATGACCATATCAAAATATCTCTTATCCTATTTTTCTGCTTGAATACTGAAAACAAAGTCTGGATCCACACTCACTCAGTGATGCTAGCTTTACCTTTAACCCTTCATCCTCCATTCTCTAGCTCAAAAAGAATTGAAAATATTCTTGGATAAAAGCTTTTTTTTTCTTTATAAGTTTTCATGAGTTTTCCTCACAGTCTAGTCTAATACTCAGTACTGGTATACAATATATTTTAATTTTAATTATTTGGGAATATGTTATTGAACTTCTCGCTAAATGTAGTTGTGTTTTTACAGAATAATATGTATCAATCAAATGTATTTAACTCTATCAGTATGTATGTCACTTTTGGCAGGGATGAAACACTTGCATCTTGTACACTTTTCATATTAGGGGTAGAAGGGGTCATAAATTCGGACTTAGTCGGAACCCAAAAACTAATTTGAACGCTATCAGCGTCTCGTGATCTGGACTTGATGCAGACTTCTCAATCCGCTTTGAGACTAGGGTTAAGTTTGTATGTAGTCTGGACCATAAGTAGATTCTGTGTAGTATGAACGCTATCCGCACAACTCGATGCGGACCGGGTGTTTTTAATATACTACCATCACTTAATAGGTTGTATTTCTGTAATAAAACTTGTAATCAAACCTCTAATAAAGAAGTTGTGATGTGTTGATATGGTTTTAGCAATTGACAATCAGAGTAACCAAGAGAAAAGACTGCAGAAATCATGGAAACAAATGGGCACACCGTGTGTGATGTGGCCTAGTTGCTGTGAGAATGTACATACGGTAAGCAGGATTTGTGGTGCGGATTTATAGGTCTGGATTTGTCTGAATTCGATCTTGATTTTCGCCAGTGAATATGAAAAGGGTACTGCACAATGTGTTACATGTACCACAATGAGAGTCTAGACTAACACATATCCAATCAGAATTGGATAGTTTGATGTTATCTCTTTTCTCACCTTCCTCTCCACCTGTTCCACTCCCTATAGCCCGGCCGAAGGAGGACAGACAGATAGACGATCACCAGGAGGACAGTGAGTGAAGGCCATTAGATGGGAGGGTATGGTTATCATTGGTAGGAGCAATCATGGTGGTAGTAATAGCATCCCATTGTCATGGCAACCATGTGATATGATAGCAATATCCAATAGTCATGGCAACCATGCAGCACGGGACAGCATCCCATCGTTAAGATTGATGATGGAGTAACCATGGTAACCATGCGGAAGGATGGTGATGGTGAAGATGAGGATGGATGGAAATGATGATAAAAGATGGTGCATGCCAGTAGAAGGAAAGAAACAAGGGGTGAAATCAAGGATAGGAAAAACAAAAGAGAATAAGAGTATAGCAAGATTAGTAAACTTGAGCAAGCAAGTCAGAGAGTGAAAGTTAAATCAATGGATAATTCAGATTTAAAGTTAAAGTAATAGATAATAAAGATTTAAAATCATAACAAAGCATAACAGAACTTGAAGTACTTCCAAGAAAATAATAAAGGAAATTATGTTGGTAGCTTTGAAGATAAGTATTCTCCCTTTGAATGATATGTTCTACTTGTACCAATTGATTTGACTGATTTGGACATAGCAAAAAATATTTTATATTTATTCATTTTTTTCATCCACCTGATGAAAAAGTCATTGCTTTTTGAAGTCCTGCATTAAAAGAATACAACATGAAATTTCCAATGGCTTGTATTTACATCCCAATTTCTGAGATTTTATCAACAAGGAGTTTCGAGGAAAAGACGATTCTTCATCACGTGTTCTTGAGAAAGTAACAGATGCTTCAAAATAACTTCCATATCTAAATAAATACGGAGTTAAATGAACTTATAATGAAGAGGCTGTGTGTTTTAGTAAGTGATTCATGCAGATAATATATTGCAAGCACATTAAACCAAAGGAACAGATACAGAATAGAGAAGTAAAAGCGAGTAAGAATGATAGAAAAGGGTGTTTGTTGACTTGGGTTGTATGCTTACCAAGAACGCGTAGTACAGCCTTAGCCTCTGCCACTCCTGTTCCCCCAGTAGCATAGCAGATATATGTTCCTGCATCGTCCATCTGGACAGGGTTGATCTGAAGCTCACCCGATGCTGACACTTCAAAACGCCCTCTTTGTTGGTTTATGAAGAGAAGATTGTCCTATGAAACAAGATATATATTAAAATAGAGGTTACAGGGAAATCCCACCTTCAGAGCAAACTACTCTAAATGAAAGCACAAATATTAGAGAAGTAGACTGGTGAAAGTTTAAATGAAATCAGAACAAAATGAGAAAGTTGTAATAATTATAGGAGTGGGCTCTTCAAATTTGCTGAATTAGTAATGTCTTTGTGACGTAGTACTACACAACTTTCCCATTTGTTCCAACACACAAAATGACTTAAATTTTGAATTCTCAAAATAAGTATGACTCTGGAGGGTCTATTCTCTTTAGAGGAACTATAATGATATGCTAATCATAATATATTCACAGTAGTGTCCCAAGGGAGAAGGCACTTAGGAGAAAAACAGAAAATAATGATAATTTTGTATCAGACAATCGTGAGAGTATCTACAACTAAGTCACAATCCACTGTCCAAACTGCCAATTTGAGATTTGCATTAGTGATCTCATATTTAAATACTCATAACTTTCTTATTATTGGTTAGATTTATTTCAAACTTTCACCATTCTAAACTGTACATTTAGAAAGAGAGAGAAAATGGAGAATCATTCACTTATGGATACCCAGGCACCCGATTGATAGAAAGAAGAAACGTATCTAAGCACATCGGTTAATTAGCCTTTTCTTTTTATACTGACATGCTGCATGACTCCATGTTAACTATAGCAAACATCTACCTGTTCCTAGCTTGTACTGTTTCTTACTGTCCCATTTTCATTTCATTCCCAGAAGACTTTCCTCTAATTTGCACTTTATTTGGTTACCAGTGAAGCCATTATATGAGTGTGTTACCCCCATTTTCATTAACACTATATCAATCCCTCTTTTCCCGATAGCTACTGGAAGAAGCGTTCACATTGCCTAACATTCTTATTCTAGATCTGTGGTTCTGAGTGATTGGTTTGAATGTCTTAACCCCTTTCATGCTAGCAAGCTTACAAATATGACTCAATATCACTCCACATAATCACTCTCAAAAGAATACATGGTGTAACAACATGCATTACTCACATGAATAAAAATATGAATGAAAACTTAAGGAGACATTTTTCAATCACGGTTTCTTTGTTCATTGTTCTTCATATAAATAGTTTTCCAACATAACAAACTTTGCAACTCATGAGCCTAATTAGATTTCAAGAAAAAAGATATCTTTTTGTAAAATCTCAGTCCTGGTTATAGTCTTTATCAGTTGTAGTCAAAGTATGGCAATGGAGACCAATCTATGTTTGGGCATTATCTACCTTGTAACCCCCCTCTCCATTTTGAGTGAATACGTCCCCATTATTAGACTCCTTTCTGAATGAGTACATCTCTGAGCTAGATCTTAATAGCTTTCACCCTCTAGTCATCATCAGCTCACTCTATCTATTAGCTCTTGTTCAGCTTTCTCAACTCTTCTCTCACTCTTATCAAATGCATTGGCAAGATGAGCTCTTAACGGTCATCTCGGAAGGATTAGTACCTATCCTACTATTCTTTCCCCCCTTTTTATATTTGACATTGGTGCTGAACAAAAAAAATATCTAATGTACAGTCAACAACTGCATTATTCATACCCCTTGTAAATTTGGTGATTTTGTGTTGTTTTTTATAACTCAAGATTGAAATGTGGAATGGTTGAATAAGGGCCTTTGTTGAATAATGTTAGATGTAAGGTTTAATATCACATTCTCAAGAAACATAAATTGGAACAAACCAATATTAAACATATGATAGTAGTTGATTTGTATATTGAGTTAGTAAGAAAAACAACTTCCTGTTAAGTTTTATGAAAAGAAAACAAATTAAGACATATGCACGACAGGAAAGATCACTACTGAGTTTTGATGTAACCTTTATAGCAATATATTACACCATGTATTTGAACAAGTTTTAAAGAATTTATCAATGATTTCACCAAATAATTTGACATTGTCTTGAAACTGATAATATTTGTTGACGTTCTGTGTACATCAACACATCATCAATCCACCATGCTGTGTGTATCCACAACAAGAATCAAATAAGAAAAGGTCACTTCAAACAACCATGGAGATAACCTCCAGCCATCTTATTCCCATTGGTCGATAGTAACTGACCCATAATGCATTTGGGTTATCTCCCTGAAGGGTTGTGAAACCCTTTTCGTCAACTGTCTTCATCCCCTACCAATATTTTCGATTCACAATGCTATTTGTTTATCACATATTTTAGAAGAGATTTGAAGGTGTTTTGAATCTCTTGTAATTACTAGTTACAATTGTGATTTGAACCAAAGACTTGGAAACAATAAAACTAACCTATTTAAGTACAAGAAATTGTCAACATATATTTGTTTCTCTTTAATTTCTGAAGTATAAAAACATTTCAATATCCACCAATGTTTTGCTTGATTTTTAAGTTACACATACCTTGACATCTGAAGCAAGCTTTGATTACATGTATATTAACTTCAAATTAGTGTCTCCAAGATAAGATACCATGAACCAACATAAACATACAATGCACTGATATAACACACAGATATAAGATACAGAACATGCACAGATATAATATGCAGAATGATAGATGGAAACTGAGAGAAGTACAAAAAGTAAGAAAGCAAAAAACAAAGAGACATACCTCTGTGCCAGCTTTCTGCCAATGGATGGATGGGGGCGGGCTTCCTACAGCCTCACACTGAAAGCGAACCATTTCATTGACATGCACTGTCTTGTCACGAGGAGCACGGATGAAGTCAGGGACCGCTGTAAAAAAACAAAAAACAAAACATATATACAAATAAATTGGCCTACATGTATGATAAAAATTGTATTTCTTAAATCATCTTATAAAAGAGAACCCATCTTACCTAATAGATCAACATTTTAAATACATGATAGTGTTGATAATAAATTTATGTAATACAGTACAAATACATGTATGTTTAATATCTAATTAAAATCTATTTTTGATGTACCCGTACATAGTAATATATTACAGTGCATTTGATTTCATTTAGCAGATACCTAAATTCTATTCTTATAATTAAATGAGTTTCATAATTTTCATTTCTGTTTATAGATTTTCTTCTTCACAACCCTTCACCTTTGTATCAGACTACCGGTATGTGAAGTTGATTCATATCTTTTTTTTTTATTTGGAAGATTTCCCTACTGTACTACAAGTCCACAAAAGAAACATATTTCTTATCTTACTATATGGTGGCTTGCCTTTCAAACCTTTAACATTGATTACACATGTTTGATTTGGTAATATTGGGAAAGGAAGATGTTCTTCTCATAAATGAATCATCTGATAGCATGACCATACCCCTCTCTCTCGTCCCAAGTTATCAAGATAATTATCAAAGCTTATGCTCTAATTCACCACATGATGCAGTTCATCATCATGCTAATAAGAGAGTATTGGCTGAATGATGTAACAGCTAGCTCTGTGGTTGGTTCTAGTCACAGTGACTAGTCATACAAGCATCATTAGTCAACCTGTGAATTTCTTCATGTAATGATCTATGGTATACAGGAGAATCAGCTAAAGTGATAAATGTCCAGAGTGTTGGAATGTATATCCATCGTGTATTTATCTCTTAAGATGGATTACACAGTCTGTCTTCACACTAGCCAATAATAAGAGAACAAATACTAGATAAATTTATTGATTCCTCTCCTGTCAATATGTACAAATTAATCGTTAATATATTCATATTGAAGTAAATGATAAACCTGATGACAAGGATATCAATTATCATTTAGATTTTTGTTCACATTCAAAAGTGTTCAAATTTTCAATTGTAACATTATTTCCTGCACACACGCATCCCTGTACAGTTGGAGAACATTGATGAACAAAAGAATTATTGACCTGAAATAAGGTTTTTAAAGTCGAGTGCATTATCTCTCTAAAATTGAGGAAAATAACTCATTAATCTGATAGTTTACTATATCTATTTTTTCCATAGAATTAAAAGGTAATGCCCAGCATCATGACATTCAAATGCTCATCAATCTAAAACTATATATCATAGATATACTTTATAGATTGCACCACGCACATGTGCGTGATAGAAAAGCAACATAAATAGATGACATTAGTGTGCATAAACCCACATTCCCTTGTCAAATTTCAGATTGGTAAGAACATGGATGGAGGGAATCCCCCCCCCCCCCCTGTTTCTTGAGAAGACGAGGACGAGGATGATACAATTCCCTGAAACCTGGGTAGAAAGGAGGGAATCCAATCCCAAGCAAACCAAAATTGAATTAATCCTGACATGCTATACGCATTATCGTGAAGGGTGTAAGTAACAGAACCAAATTACGCCAGCCCAAACTCAATTATGACGCGTCAAGTTGACGCATGTACAACAAATTAATCTGCAGCTTGTCTGTACTGGGAGAGATAGGAGGGAGAGCAGAAGAGGTGAGCATCTTCACATTATGATGGATAACTCCACAGGATGGTTTTAATTTGAAAATACCTTCACATCAAACAGGGTTGCTCTGTAAGGTAGGTTCCTGCTAAATGAATTGCAATGTTCCTCAGGATCTATCTTCAGTGTTTGTCATCCAAAAACCAGTAAATCTACATTTCCAGATGTTCTTTGCTTATCAATGTTTCGTTTGTACAACTTACAGATTTGTTTATATCAACAGTCCACAATGCTGAAGAAGGAAAAATAATTTGTCAAATATTTTTCAAATTCAAGGAAAGGTCCGTCTCTCAGTGTCTTTCACCACTGATCCATTGATTTGTAGTTAGCCTTTCATTTAAAACCTTCATGATTTGGATCTTCAGATCAATTCTTTTTCATTATTCATACATTTTCAGGATAGTTTAGTTAGAAAGCTTGCAAGTTCAAGAAGAGATGCAAATTTAGCCTTCTGTAGTCCTTATTTTATTCTTGAATAAAAAATAAACAATCATCTTTGAATCAACGCTAAAAATCTACCTTTCTCTGAAGCAATAAATCTGAGATGAATGTCTAACCTCAGAAAAGAAATATTATCATTCTTCTTCTTTCTTTTACTATCATTTGATTTTTATTTATTCATCATTATCGTTGTTATTATTATTATTATTTATCATTTTATATTATATATATATACTTTTTTTTGTTGATTTTTTTTATTTTTGTTTTGTTGGGGGCGGGGGGGGGGGGGGGGGGGGGTAAATTTACACTCATAAATGTAATTCCGGGGGACGTTTCATGAAACCAACTTCATGACAGACAGTCATATCTTTGTCTGCGACCTATGGAGGATGTCAGGAAGTGGACAACCTGTTTCACAAAACCATGATAACTTGACAACTTCATGATAATGATACTATTGGCTAAGAAAGAGGCTTCATTACAACCCATCTGGGGGTTGTATCATGAAACCAACATCATGACAGTCTATCTTTGTCAGCCACCTACAGAGATGTTCACAAAATCATGATAGGCAACAGATTCATGATTTTGATACTATTGGCAAAACAACATTACCTTCGTTCAGATCCATCAGATATTATCCTGAATTGCTAAAAAGAGATTGAAGAGGCTTCATTTCACCCAAACTGCTTGAAAAATATAAATCTAAGAGAATGTTGGCACCCAATATACATTCCTCCAATATGAATGAAAACTTATGACATTTAAGACTTATAAAATTTAACAAACTCAAGGTTGCTTTTTGAGACCGAGCGTATCAAATCTGCAAGTTTTGCTGCCCATAGAGTAACTTAAAGTTGAATTGAAATGGCGTTCTAAACAGATATGACGGGTTACAACCAAAAAATTACTTTTTTTTTTACGAGGGCTCTTTTCAGATTTTCCCTTAAAAAAATAGCCCCCCTTAATTATTTTGCGGTGGCTATTTTGGAGCTCAGGGGGGCTTTTTTTTTTAAAGGTTGTATTTTTTTAAACACGGTTTTACCTAATTAAATTCCAAGCAAAGGCAAATATAGATACAATTGTAGTGTACATATGTCATGTAGAGTATTGCAGACATTCAGATACCCATGATTTATTCACTTTGTGTTAAACGTGTGGCTTTATGATTTACATATACATGTACCGGTAACTAAAACTTGTCAAAAGGAGTGTTTTGTTTAACTGTTCGTTTTTCATATCCTAAGAAAATATTATCACTGACACGCGGGCTAGGAATTAATTTTTTTATGGGGGCTACTTTTCCCCATTGCCTAAAAAAAACCAAGGGGCTACTTCCTTAAAGCCATATTGCAAGCTGTAACAATAAGTTGTGTTTTTCCTTAGCCATCATACTACTAGCAACCAAATTGGTAGGTAATATGTTATTTAGTCTTTTTTTCTGTCCCAAATTTAATTGTCATCATGGACAATGCAATCCCATTAAAAAAAAATGTAGACCAACTCCCTTTAAAATTGTGTTATTTAGACCATTTATAACCATTAAATGTGAGTAAATATTTTTACTGTTGTCCCACATACCGATGTAGGGTCTATTTGTTATGCCGAAACATGCAAAATCATGGCCTTATTTTTTTTTTATAGACTCTAATTCTAAAGGCCAAGCCAAAGCTAGTTTCATTTTGTAGACAGAAATTGATGTCATCATCACTCATGACAATTGGCCTGGCATCGATCGTATATAAATAATTTTATTTAATTAAACAGTTGTAAGAAAAATTCTGAGGAGTAGGAACATCCTTTATATATTTATTTACGTTTTTTTTTATAACAAAATTCAATTTCTGTGTACGAAACTTGCTTTATACCGATTTTACAGGAAAAAATCCGGCATTGATTTTGCACGTTTCGTTATTAAAAATATATCAGTATGTGGGACAACAGTAAAAATATACTCGCATTTAATGGTTTTAACTTATAAATAACACAATTTTAGACGAAATAACACAATTTTAGACGGAATAACATTTTTTTTAATGGGATTGCATTGTCCATGATAAAAATTAGGGCCAGAAAAAAGACTAAATAAACATATTACGTACCAATTTGGTCGCTAGCAGTTCAGCTCTCGTCACTCGCAAATACTTATTTGCTTCATACTAGGAGCGTGCGGGCGCGCGCTGGAGCTGAGCTAGTACGTTTCTGTGTATTGTGAAAGTGTGCGAACTGCGTATGCATTGATCATGCTGTGCACGAAACTACATCGGAGCCGGTGGCCTGTCCGGCCGCCGGGAGCTTAGGCGCAGGCAGGCGGATACCGCTGTAGATCTAGCTACAGTAGGTACGACCGCCGATCCGCTGCAACTCACAAAACTTTTAAAATGTTGATGGAAGTTTCTAGTTTTGGAGTTGGTAGTTGGAACGGAGATTTCACTCAGACACATCAATAAATTGGTTTATTAATTCATAGGGAATATTAATTTATGGCGGGGGCGATTTTTCAAGATATATTGATTTTTTTTCGCCCTCGTCTTGATTTTTACCGTGGCGATTTCAGAGGTTTAGGGGGCGAATCGCCCGTCGCCACCGTGTATTTTTGTCGTTGACGGGTTAGGAGTTGCAACAAGTCTCTTGTAAGGGAAGTTGTCGCTCATCTTGGCAAAGAGGGTTTTGTTAAACACCTAGCGAACAAGATGAACAACAGCGTCAAAATGTCGGTGATCTTGTATTTATGATGGTTTCATGAAACAACCCCCATGGTTCTACCTCACACTCAGTCTCTAAACATTGATTATAACAATATGATATATACCAAGAACAACAGTTTGAAGAGATCTGATCTTACCACTGACTCGCAATCTAGCTTTAGCATCACTTGTGCCCCAGATGTTTTCAGCTGTGCATATATAGACTCCATCATCTAACTCATCGGTATGCCGAATCCGTAAAGAATTATCAGGAAGCTGTTGCGTTCTGGAATTACAAATAACATGAAAAATAAAATATTGAAAGAGTTTCATCAGTATGCTTGTAATAATGAATAAAAAGCTCTTGTATCACATCTAAAAGGATGTCTACAGTTCAGACATCTTCCTCAGGCATGAATTGGCAGACTCTAGACGTCAAAACTGTTACAAGTAATGTTTCCTTTTGGATGTGATACAAGAACTTTCAAACCCAAAAATAAAATCATTTGGAGATGTTGTTGCCGTTACTGGCAGTAGCCATGTTGGATTTTGTGAATATAACAAATATTAAAAAATCTATAAGAAATCAAAGAATACAAGTACAACAGTGAAGCTTACAAGCATACATGGATCAAAATATAAAGTAAAGAATCTGGCAGTTTGGATTTGCAGAGAGAAGGAAGCTTTAACCCTTTCACAACTGTTGAGGAAAACATGAAAATAACCCTGACGCTCTGTATCCCCACAGCAATTATTCTAAGCAGTTTTTGTTGTTTTCAAATAGCATGGGGGGGGGGGGGGTAATTCAAGACAACAGTACCTTCCTATTATCTCTGAAGAAATTGCACAAAATAGGGTAGGATAGGCTTTATCTCCCAACAATCTGGCAAATATATGACAAGATCATAATCTTAAGTAGACTTGGAAATGTGAGCTATGGGCAGACAAGAGTCCCTAAAGCAGCAAGGAACAAATTGAGAGAGACATATGGCCCGTATCAGAACTGTCTTGGGGGATTTCTCCAACCAAATAGAGAAGATTTGAGCCAAGGGGGCAAGGTAGCTCAAGCATGTGGGAGCAACTATTCTCATATTGGAACACAGGTTGTTGAACTTTAACTATTCAACTAAAGCTACTTCTTGCTCATTTTTGAGGGTGGAAATTGAATACTTTGGGTCTTCATAGTTAGCCTTTACAATGATGTTATTGTTTTTCAAACATTAATGGAATGTTCTATTCAGCAAGAGAGGGAGGGGGGGGGGGTAGAATTGAACCATCTTGTAAAATGGAAATAGTGATAGCAAAAAGTGGAAAGCATACTATTAAATAAATAATTTTCTGATTTGAATCTCTGATAAAATATTTGCTCTGCTGAATTATTAGATACAAATCTAACTGCTAAATGTACATTAGATAACATTTTTCTTAAAGGGAAAGTTTGAGCAATATCTGATGAAAAATAGCAAAGTTATGAATTTTTGAAGTTGTCATCAAATTGGCAACACCGTGGTGTATCTTGCAAGCTCCTATCCAATTTCCTCAGTACAGAAAATGTCATAAATGTTCATTTTCTTAGTTATTGATGACAAAATAGATTTGTTTCATACAGGGGTTCTATAAAAACATATTTGCAATATTTCTTCATGCCTCTATTTATATGTCTAAATTGAGGAGCACATAAAGTTGCACAGAGCAGAATATACATCATATAATCATCTTCAACATCTCATATTTTCATCGTAGCCGGGCATTTACGCTCAAGGAAGCATGAAAATGTTATGACAGATACATATATCTCCTCCGAGAGAAGCTAACCCCCTTCTATCTTACTTAACTATTATCCATCAGTTTGGCAGAATTAATAACTGCATCTCAGCTTGGCAAAGCGGAATTCAGTCTGGCATTTGCACAATTATCATGTTGACTCTATCCTTGCAATGTTTCATGCAGACATTCAAATACTCTGGGAAGATTTTTACTTTCCAATCTGTTTCCATCAATCATTACTAACATATTACATTTTTCTGTATGTGTTTAAACTGACAGCTAATATCAAATGTCAAAATATTTGTAATAACTTTGTCGCTTTTGGCAAATTTAAGCTTTTATGACAATATTATATGAGGTCTTTTTGTAACCAACGAAGGAAATATGTCAGAGAAAAAATCTGAATCGCATGATAAGTAATGTTCATGATAATTTTGAGATGTAGTGGCTTCCATTCCATTACATTAACTTCTTATATTGCTTTTAAACCAATTCTTTTTTTGTTGTTGCACTTTCTAGGAATGAAATGGGTTAAAACATTTTGCATGTTTCTGACCTTCCATCTGGTAGCTCTCCGATCTCTCTACTCCATGAGACTGTAGGGGGCGGGTCGCCTTCTACTTCACATCTCAGGACCGCTGCCTCACCGGGTGCAGTGATTGTATCCTGGGGTGGGTTGATGAATGCTGGCTTCACTGTAAGTCAACAAAGATTCAAACAATTAGATCAAAGCAGAATTTTAATTTCATATCCAAATTTTATCTTCTTGTCACATGAAAGCTACATTAAAAGTTTAAATTGTACAAATAAATAAATATAAATAAATATAAATATAACTGTGATATGATGGAAATGCTAAGGAAGGAATATGAGGACATAATAATATTATATGATATAGATTTCTAAAGCCGTTAAAGGAAAATCTAATCTGAACAGACAACTACTCTAAAAGAAAGCAGTAAAAGCAGCTTTACACTTATGATGCACTCACAATGTATGTATACATGTGTCTATTTCTAGGTTCCTCAATTTTTGAAGAGGAAGATACTCCAAATTATATCGATAACCAGATTGACACAAAGGAAGGCTGTTCTTGAAACTTCAAGAAAATGACTGGCTTAACTCTAGAATACTCCACCAAAATGTAGTATATCCAACAAGCCAGCGCACCCTTTGTTGTAGTCCCGCCCGATTATATTTTAGACGAGATTAAACAGTTTTGCACTTGCCAACAAACACAACCAAAGAAAGTCAACATTATCATTTGTATGCTTCTTCTTGCTTTGCCCTTTACACATCCAAATTTCTTGTCTATAGCTATATTTTCCTATGTTTTTTTAAATGACCCACTTTTGAAATTGATTGAAAATCATGATAAATCACTATAATTACTGTGGGATAAATGCACACACACTTGATAAGCTTTCCATTCTGAATCTATCGAATTTGGTGCCAGAAATGAAATTGTGTAAGACTCTAAAAGAGAATATTGTGCATCACACTTGGCTAAACTGTTCACTATTTCTACACAATGTAAAATGCAGTAATAAAATACCTTGTACTGTAAGATAAGCATCCTTGCTGATCCTTTCTCCAGCAACATTCTGAGCCTTGCACTTGTATGTTCCTTCGTCATCTTTCCTCAGCTTCAAAGAGAAACAAAAGAAGAAAATAAGTCATTAATATACCTCAACGATTGAGACAGCCATCTTCATAAGACTTTGTTCAGATGGGACAAGTATCAATGCTGAACCAATATAACAATTAATACTACCGGTACTTTCTCTAATGAAGGATCTCTTAGGATCTCTAAAAACTTAAAATGACAAATGCAGTGTTGTTTTCAAATATTTGTTTGAATTTTGACCTTTTTGAGCTTTCCAGCGGTAAATCGCTCACAGCTCTTGTGTACATGTACCGGTACATATTTTTTCATGTACGTTTCAAAACTTAATCCTTTGTAAAAATGGAGCTGAAGTATCAATGTCAAGCAAATCTTTTTGAAAGCTAGGAACATGAAATAGGAAGACAGATGCATTATCAAGGCCAAATCAAAGACATCCTTTGGGTGATTCCTCCCTCTGTCTAGCTACTAAAAACACATCTTCCTTCTCACTTTCTCAGCTTAATTCGCTTGGGGATGTTTTTCCTCTTTCCTACATTCACTCATCGGCCTCCAATCTAGGTAAGAGGTCACTCATGGCACCAGAGTGCATTAGTCCGCTGGATCTTATTTTATTTACATGTATTCTTCTGTTACACATGAGTAAAGAAAGTTTGTTACATTGGTGTTTAACCCTAGTAGGTCCATGGTTTAACAGAGAGGGTACCTCCCCCCCCCCCCCCTTCAACAAAACAACCCATTCTTTTTCTAACAGTTCGAATGCAGATATACAAACCATTTCGTAATAGACTACATACACATGGGTAAAATGCTTGGAATCTCAACTTTTATGAAAGTACCTCATACCGATTGATATATCATATCATTAATTTGTAGATTTTCATTAAATATCTATAATATTCTCTTTTCAAAATAGAATTAACTCTGGAAATGTCATAACACTTGGAATGGAGCTCAACCTCATATTACATGAACATGTAACTGCTCTCCTGCTACATACATGCATCTGCTATGATAGAACCTCCATCTTAATACGGTGAGCCTCTTTAATGATCTAGCCAAGTCCCCATCATGGTCGTCTCATCCATTCTATCTAGATCTGAATGTGCTTAACGGCCTCGTCCAGTACATACTAGGGATGTAAGTTACCACAAGTATTTTCTCAGCCTAATTACAAGGATAGATCTACATATACATCATCTGCTGTGAGTTAGAAGAGCCTTAACAATATATTCCAGCTAACACTCTCCAAGCCCATTTACATAGTCCAAAAATCAATTTGAAAAAGCATACTTTTTTGGTTTTTTGGACTGTCATTTACACTACTGGAGAAACCCATTAAAACGCGTTGATGTTGACATTGAGTAGTGTGCATGCCAACTTCTACCTATCGTTTGATTGTGAGTCCTAAACCTCCTTCTGACCTTCTATTTGGACCTCTCCATCCTCTATCTTCATCCTCTCTTTATCTCAATGGAATCCGATTAATAACACGTGCAGGCTGTGAAACAGCCCCAATTCTGCTGATGCTTCCACGCCTGGTTACCTGTGATATATGTGATTTATCAAGCAGGTCATCAGACTCATCATCAGTGAGAGATGAAGATACTGCTGAGGTAGAGGTCGATCATTATATTAACCCGCATACCACAACCAATCTCTATTATTAGCTAAAAGGAATCTGCAATGTTCTGAAGTAGCAGGGATACCTATATATGAAATGTTTGTAGTTAAAGTTAAACTAGTCTCTTATCAATATGTTCTACCTGAATACATGTATCTAGCCCAGATGACCTAACCACTATCCCCATCTACACACACATACACCCCCATCATGGTTTGTCATAGGACTCTAGTAGTAGTACTTTGAAAGTGAAATCCTTTGATAATATTTAAATTTGCCCAAATACTGCAAACAGTTCAGCCTTTTCATGTCTTCTCCACTCAAATACAAATAGATCTAATTAAGCAATTAAACAATAGATTTTTCATACACAAGCAACATTTTAAGATGCCTTATACATTAAAAGATAATAAAATGTTTAGACACTAAGCAATGAAATTAGCAGTTGTCTTTCTCACAAATCTCATCAATGGCCAATGCAACAACCATTTTAATGTGTTCCGTTGAATCTATTTTCAACCAGCATGTAATGGAACCACATTTATCTAAAAGGTGCATGTAGGATGCATTGTATATTAGCATCCTATTGTGAAGTATTAGCTCCCACTGCTAATAGTGTTCAGACCATGGCATAAACAGCAAAAGTTTTATTTGCGCCCCCCATGCATAACAAATCTCAATCACAGCTGTGGCGAGGACGTACATGCTAGCTGTTGTCATCTACACGTCTCTCCCCACATTCTCATTTGAGCATACACTTGTTTCATCGTGTACTTCACACCGCCACAAGCTAGCTAGCTAGCTAGCTACGTAGGAGGACAGACAGAGCCGCCATCCCTTTAGCAGGGTCATCTCATCCTCCAGCTTAAAGACATTGGGCAGCATTTCATGCCAGGAATGATTTCAAGATACAGCATCAAAATCATTGAATTTACAGCATGCTCATAACTTCAAACTCACTGTTTCTAAACAAAATAGTGATTTTTCAAAAGTTTTTACTGCGATATATTCCATATTAACTAGTAATTTGAAAAATATTGCATACAAAAGTAGGCCTACAGGTATCGGTGGTGCTTCGATTGAGCCACTTCAAATAGTGTATCTAAGAAAGTGGCTGGAAAGTTGTGAAATTTGGTGCCTGAGAAGGATGCTAAGAATTTCATGGACGGAAAGAGTTTCTAATAATAAGGTATTTGCCATGCCAGGAACAAGACGAAAGCTTTTGAATAATATGAGAGGTTGACAGCTGAGCTTCTTGGGTCATGTTATTCGAAAGAATGGTTTGGAAAATCTTGCACTGACTGGAAGACTTGAGGGGAGGAGGAGCCGGGAGGAGGAGTAGGGGTAGAAGGAGGATTCTGTGGATGAGTATAGCTTAAGGAGTGGGATTTCTGAAAGTGGAATTGATCTCGGGGAGAATGAATTACTTCATAGAATATAGGACAGAGAGTTGTGGCATGCCATGGTCGCCAGGATATGGCACGTAAAGAAGAAGAAGTGCATCTTACCTCTTTGAGTAGCAGGTTCCCATCTTCTACTATCTTGACCCTATTGTTGTCCAGTATGATGGGTTGGTCATCTTTGAGCCAGGTTACCTCCGGAGTAGGGTAACCCCTGGGTGGGGTGCACTCAAGAACTGCTGAGTCTCCCGATATCAGCTGGTCACTCACTGGCTCTTCTCGGAAGTCCTCTCTAAGATCTATCAAAATCGAATCAAAATCAAGAAACAAATTAATAACAATCTAATATAAACCAACTAAACCACAGTGTCGTGTCTTTGTAACATCGGTGGCAACTGAAATATCTCACTGTTATAACTCTTTCATGTGAAATTCATGACATATGTAACTACATTGTATATGTACATCCATAAGTTAGATTTAGCAACCTAAATGCTCATGCAGACATGACAACAAATATATACAATTATACATATAAGTAAATGAATGGTATCTGCATGAAGTAACTTAGCTCTGTATTATGAGATGTGAAGCGTATGACATTTACATCTTTATAAATTAAAGAAAATAAATAGTTTACTCCAGCATATCTGAAGGAGGCATCAGTGATTGGGAAAAGAACAAATTACATCAATGTGTCGACAGCCTCTCGATGGGAATTTAAATAAGACTGAGTGATGCTCAATGCATTATAAAGACCATTACAAAGATTACCCATTACTTTGTATTGAGTGTAAAAGTGAAGATGAATGATCATCTAAACTTTGTAGTGTCGTTGGGGTAACTATGTGATCCTGAGTGCAAACGTTCAATACATAGTCTCCTGTGTATAGAGCAGCATCACAGATGAATTGCCTTACCATAGAACATCAGTAAAATAGCTGGGACTATAACCTATGGATCTGAACTGGATTCAATGAATTTATGATAACACCTTCATAACAGAACAAGATGCATTTCCATTTTTTTTCATTTGAGCTATAGGCTAGTCTAATATTATCATATGCGGTATGAGCATTCTAACCTACCACTCAAGATACACGGGGGAAGAAGGTGTTATTTGGAGAAATGTTATCCTAGAAGTTACGGGGCACGTTAAGTCATTCTCTGTTTTTATTTCATCTGATCGGTGCTCATGCGGTCTTTGTGCGGAATTAGAACTTCTTCTCGCCGGACTTACCAACTGATTTACAAAGTTGTAAATGCCCAGAGTCTTTGGCGTGACTAATAATCCTTGTGGGGCAATTATTTTGGACAGGTATTTACTAGTGATAATTGTCATAACGCAGGGCTCTCAATGTCGGAGATTGATGGTGTATTTAGTCTATGACAATTGGGTGCCTATACTGCTGAATAAATGAAACCTCTGGCTTTGTTTATACTGAAGTATTTCCTGAATGGGTAGTAAAATGGGAGCAGTGTCATAGATTTATGAAGAAAATAAACAAATTCAGAGCAGTGGATGGGGTAGGTGAAGCCACAATTCAGATAAAATGAAGATTTACAATAAACATTTAAGTATCAAAGATAAAAGGCTGTGGCTACATGTATATATGGAAGACTATAAGTGTCATGTACACCACAATGAAGGAGTAGGGAAGGAGAAGAGAAGAGAAAAGTAGAGAAGAAAGGGAGAGGGAGAGAGAGAGAGAGAGAGAGAGATAGAGGGGGGGGGGGAGAGGTTAAACCACAACTCTGATGAAATGAAGATGTATAAAAAGACTTATGGCAGGCTACAGTCTCAGCCATCAATAGAGAACTAGAGAGAGGAAGAGAGGGAAAGGAGAGAAAAGGAGACTGAGACAAAGAAACAGAAGGATCTACTGTTCAGTATCATAAAATCACATAAAGACTAATATATAGAGATGGAAACAAATGATCTAAGGAAAGAGAGTCGGAGAGATGATGGAATGGAAGCATTTAAAGACAAAAGTGGAAATGAATTAATGAAGACCAGATAGTACTACCTGTATATAAAAGGAATACCAGGTAACTGAAAATCATGAAAATGCATACGGGTAGACTATTCCTCATAAAATTCACATTTATATATTTCTAAATAGTAATTTCCATTTAAAGGTGTATTTTAGGTGTAGTCAATTTTTCATAAATCTGTTACGGAGCAACGCAAGAGAAATTCAATAACCAACTTTGATGACAAAATGTGATAAAAGACCACCAAAGCTGCCGTGACAAATCTATGACAAATCTCTAACTTACAGAAGTCTAAATTTTCAATTGAAAAGTAGCAACCCTGTGTTTGTATAAATCTGAGACCCAAATCCCCGAAAAGAGAACCAATTTGATGGATGTTCCTTCAGTTTTGATATGACTCTCAATTACTTCATCATCCTTCCCTCATCAAGGAAGGATTGAAGGCTAGCAATCCTGTCATGATCTTGCTTTTATCCAAACATCCTCTCTTTACCACCCTCTTTTACAAATTGCTACATTGATACATGTATTGGTGATCGGCCGAGGCTAGTCTGCTTTCACAGACCTTTTGGTGGTGTTCCTTGTGTGCAAGTATCAATGGAAAGTAAAGCTCTATATACTAAACTTACCATAAATGGAATTTGAGATTGTTTTCCTTTTTGTAATGTGACAGAGTAGGGCAACCCACCTTCCTAGAACAATGGACAACACAGAGAATCCTCTTTGAATTACACTATGTCTTATAGATTTGTGTTACCAATTCTAGCTTAACCAATGTAAACAAAATGAAACTTGAATGCTCATATACATCTAGACTCGGTCTATAGAATGATGCTGGGTCTAGAAGAGAAGACTAGGCATCACTCTCCATCAGACAGGTGTGTTGCAGGATACTATGATAACCCCTGTCTCTTGATTCCTCTCTTGATTCCTCTGCTGATTGCCAAGGATTTCACCAGTCCCAAAGTGAGTCAGACCAGAGAAAGAAAGCACCAGGTAAGGTTGAACAAATACAAGATCAAGAGAGCTAGGAATGTAGTGAGCCACACCTGTGATTATGAAACAACAAGGTGTAGAGATGTGACCCAGGAGAGTAAGAAAGTGGGAAGATGATGGGAGAGTGATGATGTCCTTCATACCGGTATCACAATGGTATCTCTGGAAGATGGGGAATGAAAGTACCCCTGTAGCCATGGACCTACTTCGTAGTAGGTCCATGCTATAACTAACCATTAAAAGTTCCTTCTCATGACAAGTACGGTAACTTACGGTATGAAACTTCTTAAACCCTCCTGATCTCAGCCCAAATCAAATATAAAGTTGAACTTTTGCCTGGAAACTAACTTCAACTAAATAATAAACTCTCTTCCACCTCCTTCAAGAATATTATCATCATCTAATAGCACATTATTTCATTTATGTCATCAAGCATATCACACGAACCTCATCCTCTGAATCTCAATCCTATGGGGAGATGTGTCGAGACAGAAATCTTTTCCAGACAACCCTTTCGGAAAATTGAAGCGCAGTGAGTGGTAAGGACCGGAGAGAGGGATGAATTCCAACACTTGCGTTCCCTTGAAAGATTGTCATTTTGTTAAAGATGAGTGGCAACACTAACTCACTGACTGCAGTTACAGTTTCATGAAACATGTGTTACTAGTGGGTTTCATTGTCTTACCCAAGAAGAAGTGATACTAACAATTAGGTTTTAAAAGGGAGACAACAAGAATAGGAAAGAAAAGGAGAACAAGAAAGTGAGTGACTGAGAGAGAGAAAGAAAGAGAGGGAGAGAGAGAGAGAGAGAGAGAAATAAAGAAGGGGATGGGAGACCATATTTTCTACAAATCCATGAAAGCAGAAAAGGGTGACTTATACCATACTGATACACCATCATCTGGTATTAAAGACAAACCTCAAGGTCAACATCAAAGACAAATTTCAATTCTCTTGACAGGTTAGGATCATGTACAAATCTCTTTCAACTGATTGGCTCTGACATGTTCATATCTAAGTAAGAAAGCAACCCATCAACAAACAGGAATTATTTTCAGTTCCTTTTCACACTGTTCTTGTTAAAAGAAGATCACTATACTAACCTTGCTCTATCTGAAGTTATACTATCTTATCTCTCTGTTAGGCCTGTACATACATCTGTTCCATTGTTCTGAAGCCTAGTTATATCAAAATCACACAAAATCACTCTTATACCTCCTCCATTTATTCTTTAAATGTCTACCCTGTCCTTGACTTCAAGATTCCTTACACATCAAATTGATTTCAGGCCCAAACCACAGTCAACTCTAACCACAGACCATTTGTAATAAATTGATTTATATAGTCTTACTTCAATCCTTGCTTGCATTCTCCTCTCCTCTCTTTACTCTAAGACTTGTGATGACCTATCAAAGTGAATAACTACATGCAACTATCATTTGAACTGGTTTTGAACGCAAGACCTTCAGGTAGGTAGCAAGCTTATTGATCTATCATGCCTTCTGTTCCTTGGCCCCTCCTCCTAATAGTAATACTTTGTGATGCCCTTCCATTCCTCTGCTATACCCATCTCCTCCCCGCATCCATTCCATCATCTCCGTCGGCCGGCCATCAACCCCAATCACCAACCTGGTTCTAAACATCCTCCCCCGGAAAGGCACCAATAAAAGCCCTCTCTGCCTCCATCAGGTAATACTCCCGTTGATAGGCGGGATCATCCCCATGGTATATTGGCATCAATTTCACTCCAGGAAATGTGGTGGGATTGGCAGAATATGAGCAAAATATGTCACGTTGGTTTGCCTCCTTGTTTTTCAACCTCTGTCGCATCCAATCCCATGTTTGCAGAGATAGGAAAGCAGAATAGATTAGATAGACCAGAACAACAACAGCGAGACAAAAGGAAGGAAGGAGATACATAGATTGAGAGAAATTTTCATTTGAGATATTAAAAGAGGGAATGAAAGTTAAACTTAATATCTAAATGATTATTGAGAAAAGAGAGTGAGAGATAGATTGAATAGATAACAGAGAGAGAAGAAGAAGCCCAAGACCAAGTTAGGAGTTGTATTGAAGAGATTAAAGAGAGTAAGAAAGAGAAGAGATATCAAGAACAATAAAAAGAAGATGCATTGTAAATATGAAAGAGAAAGGGCACAGGAGTAGCAGAAAGTAAAGTTAAAGAGAGCCACAGAAAACAGATCAAAGACAGATATATAATAAATAAGGAAAGGAAAGTGTGACAGATATTTGAGTTAGATCTAGCAGATGAAAAAGAATCAAGAAAGAGAGAAAGATGAAGAAGGCA